GTATGGGGAAAATCTGGATTCAGAATAATTTTTTTTGTCATCTGCTTGACCACAATATTTTTTTCATCAATTTGGTGATCAGAATATTTTTTAATGAAAAAACCATAATCCCCCCTTGAAGTTAAATGGTCATTACCTAATATATAAGCATTGTGCTTATAACATTAATAATTAGTGGAACTGTAGCACGGGTGTTCTAATGGATTACAATATTTTATAAATTTGAATACCTGTAATATATAAGCATTGTGCTAATAACATTAACAATTGGTGGTACTGTGGCACGGGTGATCTAATGGATTACAATATTATTCTATCAATTTTAATACCTGTAATATATAAGTATTGTGCTTATAACATTAACAACTAGTGGTACTGTAGTGTTATAAATTGTTTTAGTAAAATCAAGCCTACTTTAGTCACAACCTCAAACAAATCACTTTCCCAAAGACCCTTTTTGAACAACTTTATCATTTTTCATGACCTCTCTGTCTGAAATTTTATTATTTCTTATTTAGATGAGTATGTGTTTTTTTAAATATATGCAAAAATAAAACAAAACATTATTTTGAACTTTGGTGTCTGGTCTTTTTTTTTTGTGTATATTTATCAGAACAAACTTTCACTTGAAAAACAACCTCAAATATAAATACAGTGATTAATTAGTGGATTAATACAGTTAATGACAATAGTGTAAAAGTGCTTTGATATTGCAATAAATTCTATTTCATGGTTTAACAACAGTGGTCAATTTTCTTCCAAGTGGTCTATCTTATTTGCTAAAGGGGCTTCTTGAAAATTAAGCAGCTTAAGATTACTTTACTTTAACATGTTTAACAAAGTTATTCTTCTGATTCAACTTTGTCCACGCTAAGGCAGTGTAGAGCTAAACATTATCAATCAATCAATTGACTTTATACTTTATAGTGACTGTCTTTTACATACTGAGCTGTATGTCTCTTGTAAGTGACATTATTAGTTAAAAATAATTTAATCAATTTAAATTTTTACAAAGTTATTATTTTTGTTTTTGTTTTTAAAGTAAGATAAAATTATTTACAAATGACAAGTTTAGTAACTGTAGGTGTTAGTTGAGGCAACAGCTTTGAACAACTCGTCACAATGTTTGGTGGAAATTTCCCTCCTTTTATCTGGATTTTCACAATTTTTAGTTTTTAAAGTTACTGTTGTAACAATCTGAATAAAAATTGCTAGAACATCAGGCAAGTTGTCTTATTGATTAGATAAAGTAACTCATATTTGATTATTTACAAGTTTTTTTCCTAAAACAATTTAGGAAATTTTTAGCCTATTATTTTTTTTCTTTCAGATGGCATCATATTACTTCAAAAGGATCTTTTAAGTAAACTTCTTTTTTTTTATATATATTTCTTTATTTTTTAAAAAAGCTGCACTTATTCACATCAATTTGTTTTCTGAAGATACATTTGGATCAGCAAATTATTTTTTTAATTTTTTTAATGAAACTGCATTTAGAATTCAACATATTTTTATAATGAAATATTCAGAACAGCAAAATTTCTTTTTATCTCATAACAAGAACTAGCAGTCCAACTCAAAAGATTGAAATGAAAGAGAGGTTTAAATAAAAAGAAACTAAGTGGCTCAAAATACTGAATAAAAAAACAAAATTGAAAAAGAATTGTTCGAACTGGCCCTCAATTTAACAGATTATCATATTATTTATAAAAACATCAACAATTTTCATTTAAGTATATTTTCATATTTATACAAAAATGTTTAACATCAGCTATAGTGGTTTTATATTCCACCCAAATACTTTTAATACCAACAATTACAACACATAGAATATAGTACTATAGTACTACATATATATCATATAATTTTTACAATGTGTAACTTTATATTAATGTATCTACACTCACAAACATGCATTCTAATTTAGAATTTAATGGTATGTAATATTTCATATTTAACATTTTTTTAATCATACATATCACAAAATAATTCTTGTCATAAGAATTTGAAGATTCATTTACAAATTGATCTGATTATCTTATAGTAAACTTCAATAGTTTGACAGATTTCATCACACTTCGTATACACTTGTCAAATGATTCTGACATGAAGTAAAATGATGATGATGGATTAAGACAAGGGTTAAGAACTTAGCTGGCTCACACCAATAGGAATTTTTATTTTTATCAAGATAAAGTAATTCCAAATGGCAAGTTATCCCATGTGTAGTTTTCTCTCAAACTTTCACCCTTATGACCTCTCTGAAACCACCACTGAATAATTCAACTATTTTGTTTTGATCCCATTGCAAACATGAAGATATGCACACAACTAATCAATAACAAAGGAAATACAATAGCACTATAATTTGTAGGGCACTAATAACTGTAAATTCATAAGGTTTTGGAACACATTTTGCAGTACCTGTGGAACCCATAAGAATAATAGACCTATGGAAAATTCTATGAAAATACAGTAATCAGTAAAATACGGAAAATGAAAAAAAAGAAAAAAAAAGGTGAATACCGTCTTTTGATCATGAAAAAGCTTTTAGCCAAGTTTCATACAATTCCATTGTGTATGACAAAGTTATTGATGTTTAAAATAACTTAAACCACATATTGAACCTAAATGTAAGAAGTAATATATGATCGCAATGTTTAGATTCCCCTTCAAAATGTTCCAGACTTAAAAAAAAAATGGAACCCTGCATAAATCAACACCTGCCTAAACTGAACACAAGTCTAGGTAATTAACCTATGACCTTTTTGAAAAATTAAGTGATACATGATCATACAGAGGTCCCTATAGCACTTTTCAAAACCTGACCTTTTTTCTTTTTGTTTAAATAGAGATCTGACATATTTATTAAATATCAATACAAATGTCAAGTAAAATTTCTTAGTTCAACCTTTCACAAAATTCTCTTTGAGAACAACTTTCAGCATATATTTTTGTACATATTTTACTATTGCACAATATTGTAAATTATGTGAACACAAGCAGATCTACTTAATAATATACAAAGATATAGAAAATCTAAAGATTTAGCAGAAAAACAATTGATATTATAATTAAATAAAGATATACAGGACAAAAATTCATTCTAACTACTGGTATGAGTCCTAACATACAATATATTTTATCTATATTCAAATAAAAAGAAAAGAATATTTATTACTCTAAACTAAAAATTTTGTATACTTAACATATTCATGATCATTCACACTAGATTTTAATAAAATTAATATCACCAGAGACATTTGTCATGTTCCTTTGGTTAATAGGAAGGGGTGTGATAGCAAACATATCTTGCAAAGAATTTAAAGGCTAATTTTTCAGTGATTTCCTCCCTAATTTAAGATACAGTGAAGTTTTTATAGTTTGTACTTATAAGGGGGATTAATTTTATAGTATCCCCTGTCTGAATCGTCATCTAGTATGAGTAGATATAAAGATTGATAATTTCTTAATTTTTTTTTATTTATGACTGCTCCTGAACAAATAAGTCCTAAAAAAATGAACTATCTAATGAGAAAAGGTAATGTAAACAAGTGAAAAAACCTACTTCATTTGTAAATTCTGAAACAAAAAATAAAGTATAGAATTTTCACTTTCACCTGAAAATTATATGTAAAGAATTTCGCAGCACAAATAATAAATGATTCTATATTTATAATTTCAATGTTGAAATGCAATAATTGTCTTGAAGACAAACAACAAAAGTAAATAATTCCTGAATATTATTAAATATTATAATATCATAACACTGGTTATTGATATAACACAGTCAACCTTAAGAGGACATACACGTACACCAGAACAAATGGTATGCTGGAAAAAAAACCACACTGAATCTACTCCACATACCTGCCAACTTTTCAAAATATCAATAGGGGATGATTTTTAGCACTATTTATCTAGAGGCCCTCATGCAGTTTGTATACATGTCATAAGTGTTTTCAATATACTACACTACGGTTAAATGCGCGTCTGGCATACACAATTTTAAGCCTGGTATCTATGACGAGTTTATATGTCCGTAAATGCCCTTTTAACTCCTTTGAATGCCTGTTCTGAGGTTTTCAGTTTATATTATAAAGAATTTCAGTAGGCAAGAAATGACATTACAAGTCTGTATTATGCAGCATGGAAATACTATGGCATAAACACCTCCTATATGCCATAATGGAAACAAAAATGAAATATCTTGTATGTCAAGATTTTTCACACAAGTTTTTTTTCCAAAAAGTGAAATTATTCTATACCCATAATATTGCACATGTTTATAACATTAATCTTATATTCTCCTCTGCTGCTACTAGAAACAAAAGAGAGGCTACCAGAATTCAGACTGCATTTCCAATCATATTTTCAAACATTAACATTACTTTGAGCATTTATTGTAAAACTTTCATCCTTAAATCCTATTGAACTGAATATCATTGTTTTATACATATAAAAACAAGGAAATAAGGTATGATTGCAGATAAGGAAACTATCAACTAGAGTCAATTGATGTGGTTGTAAATATAAGTATGCTAAAACAATTGATGTGGTTGTAAATATAAGTATGCTAAAAAGACAATTCAAAACAAAAGAAGAATGGACTTTGTGTTTAGCATAGTTGTTTTTCTTATTTCAAAATGACAAAAAATATGTTTAAAGGCTAAATGCCTTAATAAAAGCACCCTTTAAGAGTAGCAAAGCTAATGATTAGGTTTTTGATTCATGATTAAATTTTTACAGAACACATTCCAAGAACTCTTGCCACCGAGTTTCTACAATACAATGACTCTATTAAGAAGACCTTCTTTCAACTGTTCAACTGACCAGATCTATTCTAATTCACACTTTCAGAATTAGTCCGAGATTACTCTGACGTCCAACGGCTGTTTTGCCAGACAAGCTGGGGCTGTGGGACCCACGGCCCCAGCTTGTCTGGCAAAACAGCCGTTGGACGTCGGAGTAATCTCGGACTATTTCAGAATTTAAAAGGACTATGGGTAATTTCATTTGTTTGTACCCCAGAATGAAACCAACCTCCCATCATTGTTTGAATTTCGATTGTTTGGGACGTTGTTAGCCAATCACAGCATGTTGGTGTACACTTTTAAAACTATTACCTATAATGCATAATATTCTGAAACGGGGAATTGTAAAATGAGCTCTATACATTTTAATATCAATATTTTCTACATTGAACTAAATATGTTCATTGTCATCTGTCTGTTAAAAGTTAAAAAAAGTTATTGATTTGTTGTTGTTCCCTTAATGTCCAGTGGCAAATATTTCATGCATGTTCAGGAAGTCAAACACTATATAGAGAGTTACAGACAACTAATAAATAATTTAACATAAGATGGCAGTGAATTTCTTCAGCTCGACCTTGATTTAGGTGACCTTTAAATTTTTTATTTTAGTTCTGCCAGACCAATTTTATTTTTTTAAAGCTCTCGGAATAGATTTGATCAGTTGAAAAAAAATAAGTCTACATTGTGTTCCTTTCCCCTACAATAGAAAACAGAAAAAGTGCATTCTTTTGTATGTTCAAACTAATGTTCAGAATATATGATATACAAAGTTAAAAATTGACTAGTTACAGTATGAACCACTAATTTAAGACAAAGCACCCATATCCCACCATTTTCTGTATATCATTGGTCCCGATACAAGTCAATAGCAAAATCAGTTAATGCATAAAAGCACTCAAGCAAAAAATGTACAATTCATTTGGCAAATATTTGATGCCCTTCATTTAAGGTTATTTACAGCACCTAAATGACAAAAGTTTATACTTATACAGTAATCTGTGAACAAAAAATAACTGTAAAATGATATATTCACTATAAGAGAAATTGTATATTCATTTAGACGATAATCAATAGAAGTAAATTACTACATTTTGCCTACCAAAATTTGAATAATGTCACAATAATAGCCTTCTGGTAGTCACCACATCTGATTATCAAAGGCTTTATTAAGGCATGTTTCTGATTTATGAAAAAGATCAGAAAAGACAAAGATAAGTTAGTACAAAATACAGAATGGTAAAAACCTTTGGTCCCAAATACAAGAAAAACTTACCAAACGTGTTTATACAATAATTATTAAACAAACAGATCCAACAGTGTGGTGCACAGTGCATTAACAGATAATGATATTTGGAGTATAAACAAATAATTCACCTGAACAACCATTGCAAAAATACTTGAAATGTTAAAACAACTGCCAGGATTATCCAATGCGAACCAACATTAAACATGCCATTGTTTTCAGGCTGATTTAGGGACAAGTTTGAGATCTTGGAGTTTAATCTTTTTATATTGTCACTTAATTCTTTCTGAATTTCCACAAGAGGTTGTAGCTGTCTAATTATGGTCTCTTCAGTCAGTCTGTTTCTGTTACTGGAACATGAACGCTGAACTCTACGATCTAAAAAAAAAAACACCATAAAATAGTACTATTAACACAATGATTTTACATTCATATTGACATTTTAGACCTTGCAGCATGGTCACTGTTGAAGACTATATGATGATCGTTCAATTATGACTTTTTAAGTCCAAATTGGTGACCGTTTCATTGGCATTACACCACATTTAATTTCATCCTTTAAGTTTTTTTCATAATCCTACCTTTATTCTTGTTCAATAATGACATTTTGGAAGATATATGTTGCATGCCACAGGAATTCATTGACGGCACAATTCAGTGTGAATAAAATCTTCAGAAAATGCCATAACCAAGTCAGGAATATGACAGTTGTTTTCCATTTGATTCATTGGTTGATATAATTCAGCATTTGATTACGTCAAGTTTTATGGACGTCCCTCTTTTTTTTTTAGCTCACCTGGCCCAAAGGTCCAGTGTGAGCTTTTGCCATCACTTGGCTTCCATCGTCTGTCGTCCTCTGTCTTCTGTTAACTTTTACAAAGATCATCTCCTTTGAAACTACTGGGCCAATTTTAACCAAACTTGGCCACAATCATCAATAGGATTTCTGGCTTAAAAAATGTATACGATGACCCGCCTGCCGACATGGCTAATAATTGTACATGGGGGTCAAATGCAATTTTTCTATTATCTTGAAAACAGCTATAGATAGAGAAAATCTGACAGGAAGCAAACATATTCAGAACGATGAGATCTACCTTTTGTCTATTGACATCAAAACTGTCAGATGACTTCTCATATCAGTTATTGCCATTTAACAATGATTTGCCAAATATTTTGCATTTTTGGCTATTACCTTGAAAACTATAATACCGTAGATAAATAGACTTTAGATAACAAAAATATTCAGCAAAACAAGATCTACAAATAAGTCATCACGGTCGAGATCATCAGTTAACTGGTTATTGGAATTATTGCCTTTTAGTGATAATTTTTACCATTTTTTTAATTTTTTGACTATTATCTTGAAAACAATAATAGGTTTAAAACGGAACCAGAATGTGTCCATAGCACACGAATGCCCCACTCCCACTTTCATTTTCTATGTTCAGTGGACCGTGAAATTGGGGTCAAAACTCTAATTTTGCATTAAAATTAGAAAGATCATATCATAGGGAACATGTGTTCTAAGTTCCAAGTTGATTAGACTTCAACTTCATCAAAAATTCGTAGGTGTTCCGCGGAACCCAGTGTCTCGCCTACTTTTGCTGTTAATCGCAGGCTCAACAAAAATGAGATGAGGAAAAAATTTAATACAAATATTCCTCTCGTTACAATTTTTATTATTGTAAGAAGCTTCTGTCCAAGTTTGGTAAAAAATCCAGGATAGTTTATGAATCTAATAAATGTTTTTTAAAAAATTTAACTCGTACTGTATGTAATGTTAACTGGAAGAAAAACTAAGTCCATTTATAAGTAAAATATGGATAAACAAGTACAAAATTTTAATAAAAATTTCCTTCTAGATACTAGCTTTTGATCATAAACAAACTTCTGTCCATGTTTGGTACAAATCCAGGATAGTTTAAGAAAGTTATTAAAATTTTAAAAACTTTTAACCACATAGTGAATGTAATGTTAACTGGCAGAAAAACTAAGTCCATTTATAAGTAAAATACGGAAAAACAGGATTTTTTTTTTTTTAAATTTACTTCTGGATACTATCTCCTATGATCATAAACAAGCTTCTGCCCAAGTTTGGTAGAAATCCAGGATAGTTTGAGAAAGTTATTAAAATTTTAAAAACTTTAACCACAGAGTGAATGTAATGTTTCCTGGCAGAAAAACTAAGTCCATTTATAAGTAAAATATGGAAAAACAGGAATTTTTTTTTTTTTAAATTTACTTCTGGATACTATCTCCTATGATCATAAACAAGCTTCTGTCCAAGTTTGGTAGAAATCCAGGATAGTTTAAGAAAGTTATTAAAATTTCAAAAACTTTAACCACAGAGTGAATATTTGTGGACGCCGCCGAAGGCTCAACAAAAACTACCTTGACCAAAAACTTTAACCTGAAGCGGGACTGACGAATGAACGAACGAACGGACTCACAGACCGAAAAACATAATGCCCCTCTACTATTGTAGGTGGGGCATAAAAATGATCAACAGGATAAGATCTACAAATACGTCAACATGACTGAAATTGTCAGTTAACTCTTAATAGAGTTATCCCCTTTTAATGATTATTTTTACTAAAAAGTGGCTATTGTTGAAGATTCAGGTGAGCGACACATGTTCTTCAGTTAATACTTTTTTTCCCAAACTAAGGAAATCACTGCCACCAAAGTAATCAATGCCACATATACATGTTTACCTGTTTTTGCCAATGGAAAATTACGTATTTGTATATCAAGACCTACTTCAAGTACATATATATGACAGTCTAAATTAAAGAAAAGTGAAGTTGTATTACTAAGTCTATTATCCTTACTATTAAAATAGTAACACAGTTTTATGTGGGATAAATCAATCATTGAAATATTTAAAGGTATTCCCTTCAATTTGTGTTGCTTTTCAGCTGACAGTTAGGTTTTTTTCATGTCAATCTAATTTTTCCAAATATTTCATCTCTTTTTTTTCATTTAGCACAAATGAGTAAGAGATTAGATAGATATAACCTACTTTTGCCAGGATGTCTTTCAGATGAATCACTATCTTGTAGAAGTTCTGCTTCTGGACATGAACTTTCACTCTCTTCCCCTACCACCTTTAGCATCCTAATAGAGGTGTTCCTAATGGATGAGTTCAGACTATCGGGTTGTTTCTCTAGACTGGTAATACTACAAGTTCTAACCACTGGGGTTCTATGTTTAGTCCAGGTCTGAATTCTATAGTCTACTTCATACTGCAATAAGTCATTGCTCACATCCCATGGTCTCATGCTATGTGAACAATAGAACAATTTAAAATATATTCTCATTTCAGGTTTAAAATTAAATGTCTCTGCTTTGGAAAAGGGTGTGAATAAAGTGTGAAGCATAAAAAATATCATTCTCTTATAGGACTCAAACAGGGAATTTTTTTTTAAGGTACCACCATTACTTGATGTTGATGAACTAACAAATGTACAGCTTTCAATAGAATAAAAAACAGGGAATTACTTGATTTTTAATAAATATATGTTGTGTATACAATATCCAGCAGAAGTAAGTTTCAGATAAGTTTCCACTCCTTTTAATCCTTGTTTAATGCATAAAAGAATCAGAAACATTGCAAAGATGTAGTCAATTTAAAATCACCATTTACTTTACCCTAAAACAATCCAGCATATCTTTAAAATGAGATTTAGAATAATCCATAAGTTTACTTGGAAATAATATAATCCTAATTAATCAAATTCAATTGTTGACAATGTGTGGCACAAAAAGCAGCACAATAAATCATTTAATGCCATAATGATGTTGGTGTAAAAATTTCAGATAGAGTGTTGTTTATAAACGCTTCACAGAATATTTTGTTTAAATCAAAATCAAATCTGCTTAACACTTCTAAAATCAAAGAATTTTATTTTTCCTGGTGCATGGTTTAAATCAAATCATATTTCTATTAATTATCTTTTACTTCTACTAAAATCAAATTATCCTTAAAAATTTGAGTGAGGCATAACAGTAGCACCATGCTTATGCTTAAATTCTGGAATTATTCAAAGAGTTTAATATTGATTATGTAAAGCCAAAAATAAAACTTAAATTGTTTGATGTTGCCTACCTACCAACCTAAATACAAATTTTTTTTCAAAGATTTTTTCCTGCTCTTGCATCGTTTTCTTGTCTAAAATATTTAACTTATGTTGTTGGCCCAAAAAAAAACAAAATCCCTACCTACCTACCCAACCCTACAAGGCATTGGTAGGCAACATCAAACAAGGAATTTGTTAAGGGTTGCCTAATATTTATCATTTCTTACTCTATGAATTTGTAGACCCAATCATTAGTCAGCACATCTCTTTCAAACAATGCAGGGACCCATTCCAACAGTTTAGCCTTACGTTCCTTTGCTTCAGTTCTTTGGCGCTCTTCAAGAATAAACTTTTCTTCTGTTGCAGATTTCATATCACAAGTGATCACAGCCTCACTTACATTCCTCCAAAGTCTGAAATAATGCAGAAAAGGTCATGTAGAAACAATTACTCCATTTTAAAATACTTGATAAAAAAAACATCCAAAAAGGCAGGTATTTATCTAAAATAAGGGGAATTATGATACATTTTTGGCACCTGAAGTTCAATCCCTCCAAAAATATATAAATTTTATTAAAAGGGTGATACAATCCGTTCAATTAATGCAAATTTTCATTTGTAATGTCACTTTGTGGACATACAGATCTTGAAATTGCCAAATTTTACCTAAAACAGTTTTTTACACATATTGTAGGGAAAAATTAAAATTTGAGCAACATGCTTTATTGAGGCTGTTTTGGTAGTTTTTAAACTTTTTCTTTGCATACAAGAATTTGAATGTTTAAGGTAAACTTAAAGACAAAATCAAAAATATAAATACTGATACCTGAACTGTTGTTTAGAGAATATCTGAAGGTTGTTAGTTGATAGATTTAGAGCTAATTTCCTAATGCTTGTAGAGTAAGACTTTGGTTGGCTTGCTTGCTTTATTTGTATGAATGTTTGCTCAAGCATTGTAATTAGGATTGACATCTGCAAGCAATATAAATAGACTGAGTTAAACCTGTATACATTATATTTAGATTCCTAACCTCCAGGATAACATCTAATCAAATTTAAGTATAATGTATACAGGTTTAACTCCACCTTTTTATAATGTTTGCAGATGTTAATGTTAATTACAATGCTTGAGCAAACATTTATACAAACAATGCATGCAAGCCAACCCAAGTCTCATTCTATATGCATTAGGAAATAAGCTCTAAAGAACTTTTGAATTTTTAATATCATGGGACCAAAAACATAGCCTTATAATAATTACTCATTTAATTTAAAATAATTTTCCTATCAATGATCAATGATGACTCCTATTAACTTACTTTTCACAAAAAAGTAACCTTTATTACACTGTTTCAATTAATATCATACCATTGTGTCATCTTTCTGGTTTTTTTTTCTTTTCAAAGACAATATTTGTAAGAAGACGCATCTGAAGAAATATTATACACAACCAACCTTTCTGATTCCATATCACCTTGCAGCTCTAATGGAACAGTAAATCTTTTTAATCTTTGAGATTTTACTTCTTGTGTTGGTTGCCAAAATAAAGATACATCCTAAACAGATAAAAACAAATTGTTCAGATTATTAATTTGCAGATTGAAAACATTAATTTTACAGAAACAGTCAGATTTTAAAGTTTGTACTCTTCCATAATGAAAAGTGGTGTTTTGTTGACATTGACACAGTTATTCTATGATTTTGTCTCCTCTGAACAAATCAACTCGCCCCTTTAATTTAATTTACCTCAGCAACTCTTTTCACAAAAAATGTAAGAGTAAAAACACTCGTAGCAATGAACATTTCAGTAAACTGATAAATGGACTTAGTTTTTTTTATGTTTAACAAGTAGCCCAAGAATCTTGTCTCTAATGAAGTGTGAACTCAGTAAAATATAGTGTTGTATTCTAGCTAAAATTCTGCAGGCCTTGTGTATTGACTGTTAAGTCATTTTTTCATTTTTCATGTTTGCCTATACTTCATATTATAACATTAAATTTGTACTCACCCCTGAACTTTTATCTTTATAATGAATTTCCTGGTCCCAGTGTCCCTCAAGTGTTGCTATTGTGTCTGAACCACATTTGAATTTACCCACAATTCTATTTGATGCTTCACCACTTCCAAGAAATGGCTGAAAATATAAACATAACAATATTTGGCTGAACTTTAACAATACTTGACCATGATAAAAATTTATAATGTACAATTTAAGTTTGTCAAACATATATCATAACAAAGAAGCATTTAAGGTTTGCTTTTAGTGGATCATACACCATACTCCTAATGGATGCTAGCAAAATACATGTAAATAAAGAAAAAGATATTAATACATTTGTGTACTAGACATTTATTTAATGTTCCTGAGTGAGATATGAAGATTTGTTTACCCAAGAAAAATCATATTTCCTGAGGGCATCGCCAAGGGTAATGAATGTTTTATTCCACTGCCTATACTTTTTATAACTTCACAAACATAAAATATTAATTTCCATACAATGTTTCATATCTGCTTTTAACATGTTTATAGCTAAACTCGACATACACATTGATAAGCAATACCAATCAAAAGTTTATCATTTATTCTATGACAAGTTCCATTTTTTCTCTTTTTTGTTTTTACATCTGAAATAGTTTTGAACGCAAAAGTGACTATACTATCACTTTAAAAAAAAAAACGGTCATAAACGTTATGTTACGTAACGTCGCACAAGATAGTCCCGACATTTCAGGGGGGAATATGATACTCAGAGGGGAATATGAAGTTTTGTTCAATGTCAAGTGGAATAGTCTCAACCAATCAAATGTTGATTTCCTATCTGCATAATCAATATTTACATACAGAGGAATACAATGTAATATATAACACCATCAGTTATACAGAGTTGTCAAATGTATAAAAATTGCTATATATATGTTTTTTTTTTCATTAATACATACACCAATGATCCTTCATTTTCTATAGATGAGCTGTTTGAGCAAGTTATAGGAAACTATGGCAACATTTGTTAAGTAAAACGAATATATACAAGATTAAATGTTTTTTAAAGCTAATACACTAGTTTTAAACAAATTTCAATGCAACTGGCCAATCTCTTATTAAATTCTGACAGAAGTTATGTAAAATTTGTTTGCAATTATACTGAATATTTCTCAAGTGTAACAACATATGCTTCTGCAGTCTTTACTATAGATTTATATCAGTTCTTTCTCAGCAATTTTGAATGCAACAGCTATCAAGTTTTTATTTTTTTGTTTTGTAACAATGTCACATAAAAATAATCACTTGCAAGAAAACTGTTTTACAGATTGGTAGATGCTGCAATGTCAAACCAATATTTGTCATAATAAAATTCTATTTAATGAATACTGCTTTTCCAATGTTTGCAAAATTCTACTTTAATTTCTGTAGTAGAGTAGATAATAATTATTTAATGGTTTTTGGACTAATGTAAGCTTTCAATTTTTGTTTGTAAAATTGAAAAACTTAAAATTTAAAAACACCAATGATACTTTACTTAATTTTTATTCATTTACCTTTAATTTAAACTCCATTTCACATTTATATCCTGTTTTAGGACAACCTATTGATACTTTTCCTCCCATTTCCATGGTTAATGTACCGATCAAAATACCTGCAAATAAAACAAATATGACATTTAAAACCAGACTAGAAACACAAATGTTTTGTTCAGATTTAAAGGTCTTCAGTTGACAGTTAAAACCATTTTCATAAAAGTAAAAATTTGTTTTAAAAAATAATCCGAAAGCTGTCACTGGGTATTACGCCTTTATGCTGTTCTTCATCTAAAAGTCACAGTGAGGCCTTTAACATGGAGCAAAACAAATCACCAGACTGTATCTACTTGTTAAATGTAAAAAAAACTAAAACTAAGTTCATTTATCAGTTAAATGCAGAAAAATGAAAATAAATATTTTTCAAAATTTTGCTCTGAATACTGTATTTTGGTCATAACTAAGCTTCTGTCCAAATTTCCTAAAATTCCATGAAGGTTTGACAAAGTAATTGATGTATAAAAAAAACTTAAACCACAGACTGAACCTAAATAATGATGCCACTGATGACAGAATCTAGGATGGCTATGTCTTGCTTTATTGACATAAATGTCACAGACTCTACATATAAAATGATAAGAAAACTGATTTCTTTGAAATTAAAATTTTCAACTAATGAAAATTCTTCACTTCTATTCCAGGTTTTTTAATAATAATCAACAAACCTTTACAATGGGCATATGGCATTGTGATGAAGTAATCTTCTCCCCTTTTTAAAAATGTCAGTTTAGCAGTACCATCCAAAACAGCAGATAAAGAATTACCTGAAAGAAATTTGCATTTTTTATATTTATGTAAATATCTACTGTAATTAAATGAGATGATCTGATTGTAAGTGTTGATTCTCTGACTTTTAAATTAAATTATCTATTGCAAGATAACACAAATATGCTTTTTCTGAAATAAACTTCAAATTGATTAATGGACTGACGGCGGCAAGATTACATGTTACCCTACATGGACACATTATTATATCTCCTAAATGCAATTTGCTTGGCGGAGAAGCAGCAAATACCAATATCAAAGTGTTAAGTTTGAAACTGCAGAGGATTTAACTCATCAACTTCCACACTCAAGACAAGTACTCTATCCAAATACAATTGAGTCAGTTTGACATTATCATATAGTTGGACCAGAAAATGCAATAGTATTGTGATCACTAGGATTTCCCCAAATTGTACAACACTATTCCAAAACAGGAAGAATGTATTATAATTAAACTCTTACCATAAAATTTTGACTTTGCAAGAATACTGCCACTAACACTAAAGCCATCTTGTCTGTTTGTTATATGAAATGCTGAGACTGGAGGATGATGGGATATCTGGGAAAAAAACACTTGGTAATTAAATACTTTACAGTGTTTTTGTCCTGTAAGAATAGCAATGTAAAGGGTGCTTTTCAAAAGTAGGTAAAAAGCCTTGTTTATAGTAAAATACTGTATATGTACAGAAAAATGTTTTTGTTTTTGATATTGACTTTATCAGCAAGAATATTAATGCTGCGTTCACACGAATTTCAAATTTGATTCACATTAACCAATTTGAATTAGTTTAATTCACATTCGAAACGTTTTACGTCCGAATGTAAATTTTAATACGATTTGCAATGCGCGTCAAATTCGCTTTACTGTCTGAACGACGTTAACTTTTAATTCGTATTATCAATTAATTAATTATAATTTAAAACAAACAACCATTTTAGAACCAATAACATCTCCAATCTTGTTCTCTTGGTCTGATATGGCATTTATCAGTATAATTTTTCCTACTCATTTCAATAACAGGGCTAGGGTTTTACTATTTTATCCAAGAACATTTTTTTTCTTGTTATTTTGCACAAACCAATGTTAAACGAAAAAAAAAATGACGTCATTCGATTTAAATGTACATGTGAATGAGGCATAAGCGAACCCGCTAGGATAGGCTGATATTAGATCTGTTGAAGTCAGTATCAAAAAATAAAATGCCATTATTCTTTTTATCAGCAATTTGTCTTACAATATGTTTTTTGGTTGAGAATATGAAATAAAATGAAATAGTAAGTAAAACTATTTTTACACGTACAAAACTATATGATAGTTGTTAAGTTGTATGAATGAAGTCGCATGATTTCCTTGACAAATTGAAGCGGAAAGATATGATTGTGTGATGTTGCTGCACTAATATGTGACATCATTGCCTAATATTTTTCTAGTATCAGGCTCTGTCCATGATATTAGTCACTTAGATCAAACAGAAAATGTACAAATTGCTGATAAAACATAAGAACACATGAAAAGAGGTACTATCAAGTTTGTGTTGATAAATAAAACTATGAAAAAATTGGGTGCATAAAAATTACATTATTGACATATGCATCATGTCAACTTCTCAAAATCTAAATGGGAATTTTGGTATAACTGACTTAATGCATCTCTAATAAATGTCATACATGGTTTTTATTTAATATACTATGGTTTTGAATGAGAAGATACAGATGCCATTTTATCTAATTTGAAAATACGCCTGTTTTGTTGTTATCAGTTTATATAATGAGGACTACAAGGATCAGGTCAACACCTTTCATGAAATCACCTCTTAATCAGAAAAGTTGGCTAGTATGCCGACATATGTTGGTAAATAAACATACAACCTGACATACATAAATAAGTGTTAACAAATACTTATATAGGAGGTATTTTTGGTTCATATGATAGCACTAAAAAATGTAGACTTTATAATAAAGATGATAGAAAGATTATTGATTGATAGTACCATATTTTTTAGTTTTTTGAATTACCTGTTCTGCTATATAGAAAGTTCTACTGTTTGTTTTGGGGTGATGCCAGTAACATCTGAAAGTCTCTCCTATTATGGGATTGTATGGTTTCTTTAGACCCTGTAAAGAAAAACTCACTAAATTATATTTATTACAATGGGTTTAATCTTCTATGCATATTTATTAGTTGCTATCTAAAGTTGTATTGTACTGGAGCAGTTTTTTTTAATTAAAAAAAACAATAAATGCTAGTGTAATTGTACAATCAAAGAGCTTAAGAGCTCTGAGGGAAAAGACGGCCATTGTTTCTAATTTTTTTTTGGTATCTTTTGATAGTCTTCATACAAATAATGAGCAAAAGAACAGCTAGAACATGTAGAAAGGTTGACAATATTGAAATTAATTGTTGTTTAATGTAATTTCATTTCCTTAGTCAAGAATCATCATGGAGTCAATTTGGACCAATGGAAGAGATCGGCACCTTCTAAATCAAAGCATTTGATTACAGTTGAAAGTTAATTATCTAAAATTCAATTGAATTCTATCATTTAATAACTACTACAATATATTTTTTTTTTTTATGTGTACCACTGAACTGCAGGCTAAGGCCATTTTCTATTTTTTGTGACAGTGCTCTCAGATTTTTAATTTTTTATCAAGAAAGTGAGGACTGAAAAGTCAATTCAGTTTTAAATTTCCATTGATAAAGTTCCCAGTTACAACTTTCATCACAGGGATACATGTACTTACAAAAATCAATCAGATTGATATAAGCTGTGTGCAGCTTGTTTCCAGATCCTACATTTTGATATATTTGTAAATTTCGTGAATAAATATGTTTAAACTACAAAAAGCAACATTTGAAAATTTTATAATTTTTTTACCATTACAATGATTATGTTGGTACACAAAATTTTGTTTTAATGGAAGACTACTTATCATATAATAAATGTCACATTTTATGTGTTCAGATACATTAACTTTTATTTAGGTGGATAAATACTCATCAATTGAGGTGCTCCTGTATTGGAGGAAGATTCTCAATACAGTTACAGAAAGAATAAAAACTACCGTTTCTCTCCCCAACCTCATGTATCCCCATTGTTTACCGTGAAAGTTGACCTACAAATTAAAGCATTGATGTTTGAATCATCTACAGCAAACATAATTATGTTTTAATAAACAAATACCGATTTTAAAATCGTACACGATTTCTGTGAATGATTTTAATCATGAGTCAAGGATATCCCTGCTTCTACATAGTGTGGAATTCCAACCATGACGTCACTAGGTTGGATATATTTAGAATATTTCGTTATACTGATTTTTCTGGATTGTAAAACAAACTTAAATAGTGTAAGGGAGAGCTCAAGATACAATAATTTCACGAGAAATAGAAGGGAAATGTATAAAAAAGTGTTTAAAGTCCATCTGTTCATTTGTTTATCTCCCAAATTCATCAATTCAGTATGAAATTTTGAGGTGTTTTCCAATTAAAAACACAAAATGATTGACGTGAGAGGCTTTAAGGTGGCACGGTAGTATTTCCTGGCCCATAAGGGATAATGATAGCCTTTTTAAACTTTTCACTACTTTCTAGCACTGCCCAAAATTCTATGTACACAGTTTACTGAAGTACTTTCATTATAATTTTCAGAAATTAATTTAAATATGTATCATGACCGTTTACTTTTTTTGCTATCTTTAAAAACCTAAGGCCACTAGTGCTTTTAGGTCTTTTATCATGCAGTGAATGCAAAATTTAAAAAAATTCTCAAAAATTCATTTTCACCTGTATGTAAAATTATTTCATATTTTTTTACACCTGATTCATCCCTCAGTTTGGGAAAATATGTTCAGTTGATACTGTATTTTTTGTCCAATCACACTGTTCAAATACATTGACTTAGGTAGGGTACACAAAAGAGCAACCAAAATTCCGGAATGCAAATACTACCGTGCTACCTTAACCAAGACATCACAAACTTGAAACCAGTCATAAAACCTATGAATTCAGGCATGGGGCGAATTACATTGCAATGTAATGCATTACATTACAATTACTTTGACAAAACCATGCATTAAATTACAATTACATGCATTTATCAAAGTAATGCATTATATTACAATTACTTTTGCAAAGTAATGCATTGAATTACACATTACATTTTTAAATTTTATTACCAAGTGAAAAGAAAAATCAAGCATTTTGAAAAACAACATGAAATCACAAAAGATTCTAGCATATCCTTGGCTTTAGTATGAATAAGTTTAGATGAGAGATGTTTTCTGCTTGGAATGTTAAATTTTGGGTCAAGTTTTTACGTTCTTGAAGTTTTGGCTATCAATTGTAGCAAACAGAAGTTAATCACCAGCAGTATACTGAATTAATGCATCTGTAGCCTCCTTTTGCTTAGGATCATCCCAATGATATTTCGGACTACCTGACTGTTTCACAAAACTTAACAAAGTTGGTTGCTCTTCTTTCTTTGATTTTAAAGTTTCAACATATAATACATATATGTGTTTCTCTAAAAAGAAGTGACAGAGATGAAGTTTAATCTTAACTTAATGTTAACTTTTCTTTTTATAAATATATATTTGTTTTTGTTTTTTTTTTAATTTCAATCAAAATATTTATTGAGAAATTCTTTCCTAATTATAAAATAAACACTGAACTTAATTTATGACCAAATGTTGTTGATTGTAAAACAAACTAATTAGTGTTTTATGACAATGTTCAATTATCTGTTATTTAATTATGACAAGGTACTCTCTGATCTTTTGACAACAATAGAACACTTTTACAGTAATGCTTTTCAAATATCAATCTTTTTATGCAGGAAAATATATGAAATAAATTGAAATAAAATAAAATGCTTCGCTGGGGCGCAGCTTGATACGACCGCAGAGGTCGAACCCTGAACAGTTGGGGCAAGTATGGACACAACATTCAAGCTTGATACAGCTCTGAATTTGGATTGTTTTTAAATATTTGACACAGCATAGGTTTCTGACACAGAAAGAATGTGGTCTAAGAACTTGAATTTTTTTAATTTACCTATTATGGTCCAATGTCCAAAATCATAATACATGGTTAGATTCAGCATATCAAAAAACCCCATATATTCAATTTTTGTTAAAATCAAACAAAAGTTTAATTTTGGACCCCAACTTGGACAAACTTGAAAACTGGGCCCATAATCTAAAATCTAAACACATGTTTAGATTCAGCATATCAAAGAACCCCAAGAATTCAATTTTTGCTAAAATCAAACTAAGTTTAATTTTGGACCCTTTGGACCTTAATGTAGACCAATTTAAAAAACGGGACTTAAAATTAAAAATCTAATTACACGGTTAGATTTGGAATATCAAAGAACCACAATAATTCAATTTTTGATGAAATCAAACAAAGTTTAATTTTGGACCCTTTTGACCTCAATATGAACCAATTTGATAGCGGGGCCCACAAATAAAAAATCTAAATTCATGGTTAGATTCAGCATATCAAAGAACCCAATATATTCAATTTTTGTTGAAATCAAAAAAAGTTTAATTTTGGACCCCAACTTGGACCAACTTGAAAACTGGGCCCATAATCAAAAATCTAAACACATGTTTAGATTCAGCATATCAAAGAACCCCAAGAATTCAATTTTTGTTAAAATCAAACTAAGTTTAATTTTGGACCCTTTGGACCTCAATGAAGACCAATTTAAAAAACGGGACCCAAATTAAAAATCTAAAAACACGTTTAGATTTGGCATATCAAAGAACCCCAATAATTCAATTTTCGATGAAATCAAACAAAGTTTAATTTTGGACCCTTTTGACCTCAATATGAACCAATTTGATAGCGGGGCCTACAAATAAAAAATCTAAATACATGGTTAGATTCAGCATATCAAAGAACCTCATATATTCAATTTTTGTTGAAATCAAACAAAGTTTAATTTTGGACCCCAATTTGGACCAACTTGAAAACTGGGCCCATAATCAAAAATCTAAATACATGTTTAGATTCAGCATATCAAAGAACCCCATATATTCAATTTTTGTTGAAATCAAACAAAGTTTAAATACTGGACCCTATCTTGGACCAACTTGAAAACTGGGCCAATAATCAAAAATCTAAACACATGTTTAGATTCAGCAAATCAAAGAACCCCAAGAATTCAATTTTTGTTAAAATCAAACTAAGTTTAATTTTGGACCCTTTGGACCTCAATGTAGACCAATTTAAAAAACAGGACCCAAAATTAAAAACCTAAATACACGGTTAGATTTGGAATATCAAAGAACCCCAATAATTCAATTTTAGATGAAATCAAACAAAGTTTAATTTTGGACCCTTTTGACCTCAATATGAACCAATTAGATAACGGGGTCCACAAATAAAAAATCTAAATACATGGTTAGATTCAGCATATCAAAGAACCCCATATATTCAATTTTTGTTGAAATCAAACAAAGTTTAATTTTGGACCCCAATTTGGACCAACTTGAAAACTGGGCCAAAAATCAAAAATCTAAATACATGTTTAGATTCAGCATATCAAAGAACCTCATATATTCAATTTTTGCTAAAATCAAACAAAGTTTAATTTTGGACCCTTTGGACATTAATGTAGACCAATTTGAAAACTGGACCCAAAATTAAAAATCTAAATACACTGTTAGATTTGGCATAACAAATAAATAAATGTGATCAAAGATTTTACAAATCTAATGCGCCATACTGTGCAATTAAAGATTACTTCTTGAAATTTTTCAATATTTGAAATTTGAAAAAAAAATAATATTTGAAGAATAATTCTTTTTAATTTCTGAAATCTGAAATGAGAAAAAATTGGCCCCCCACAATTTCTTTTTATCCCCCCCCCCTTTTTCCCCCAAAAAAATTCTTTCCCTCAAGATATGGTCATAATCTCAATTCAAATTTCCAATGGAGTAGGCAACCATAATTACCCATTTAAATTTACCATAGTGCTAACTTAATCTATTTTATAATAGAATTAATAAAAATATAGTGTCAAATCTTTCATATGGATTTTTTTGTAAAAAAAAAAGATGAAAACATTTGAAGATATTTTTACTGGTCTTCCTTTATAAATATGCATTTCTTTAAACATAATTTAAAAGCAGTGTAAGGGAAGTAACCAAAACGTTGTATTTGGATTACCTCCCTTACACTGTTTTAGATTATCTTTATTGTTCATTAACCATTACTTTATACATAATTTAAAAGCAGTGTAAGGGAGATAATTTCAATGATGTATTTGATTTATCTCCCTTACACTGCTTTAAATTATGTTTTGTACTAAAGTATTTGTCCATTAACCAGGACAACCTTGTTTTTCCCCCTTTTTTGCCCCTAATTCCTAAACGGTTTGAGCCATAACCCCCCAAAGCAAATCCTAACCATCCCTTTGTGGTATGGAAACTTGTAGTATAATTTCAGAGAGATCCATACACCGTTCCACAGTTATTGTCTGGAAACTAGAAAATGCTCATTTTTGGCCCCTTTTTGGCCCCTTATTCCTTAACTGTTGGTACCATAACCCCCAAAATCAATCCTAACCTTCCTTTTGTGGTATTTAACCTTATGGTCAAATTTCAAAAAGATCCATTCACTTAAACTAAAGTTAGAGTGCGAAAACCAATATGTATTCGGACGACGACGCCGGAGCCGGACGACGACGCCGGACGACGACGACGACGACGACGACGACGCCAACGTCATACCAATATACGACCACAAAATTTTTTTGCGGTCGTATAAAAACTAAGTAAGAAAATGATAATCCCATTCTTTATGATTAAGTACAAGTGGGTAAAGTGTGAAAAATAAATAGAAAATCAATATTCAAATGATAACTTTTTAGTTAATCAAGAAATCTTATATTCTGCTTTTGTTAAACAATCTGTTAAAAGATATATTTATAGTATCAGAAAAAAGTAATGCCATTTAATGCAATGTAATGCATGAAATTACAATTACATGTAATGCTAAAATTGCTGAATTACACATTACATGCAATTACTTGGAAAAATGTAATGCATTACCATGCATTACAATTACAAATTTGCATTACCCCATGCCTGCCTATGATGCATAGACTTCTTACTAGGAAACATATTACAATAAAGAATACTAGTCTGCACTTATTCCTTACCCCAAAAAATTTAAAGATTATACCCCTACCCCAGCTGGCAGATTTTACCTTTTTTTCATCTTGCCATTTTTACTTAAGGAGTGAACAAAACCCAAATATATGATGTTTCAAATCAACACAGAAGTAAAACATGATGATTCAGGAGGAATTATTGGATTGCCAACTCTATTTATAGTTAATCTGACTGAAAGAAACAGTTTAAGCACCAAATCATGAAAAATGATAGTAAAGTCCATTCCACATTTTACAGCATGCCTTACATTCCTTTAAGCATTTCCAGATCATGAAGGCAATTTAACAAGATTCTTTAGATGGCAGTTAACTATTATTCTAAAGTCTTTTTGACAATACATGTACTAGAATATATCTCTAAGATGACTGTTTGTCTATTTCTCATGTATGCATTAAGTTAAATTATGTCCCCTTAAATAATCAATATACCTTTATTGTGTATTTCAGGGTCAGAAAATCAAAACAATTCATCATATTTGCATGGAAAATGAATAAACTATTTAATCTTGCTGATATACAATCTTAATCACATTCTTTGTCCAAATAATTGTCTTGTCAATGTAAAGAAACCCCTAATACTATCTCTATTTCAGCTAAATATGAGGGCTAAATGAATAAGTAAGGACCCCTAAACCACTTACTGGTTCCAAAAAAGCTCACACTGGTGCCATGTTACCACAGAACTACAAATTAAACCTAAAGAAAACTAGTATAGCTGTACTTGTGTGGAAAAAAATAAAAAATTATGCACTTTACTTAATTCGGTGAAAATTATAGGACGTACAGACAACTAAAATATGTCGCGTCTCAAATTCCAGTTGTTGCACATGTGTCAGACACTGCGAAAAGTTAAAGCAAACATTTATTATTAAAAATGTACTGCAAGTTACATAAAAAATAATTAAATTTTTACATTATTACCCACAGATCAGGCAAAATTTGCTGAATCAGCAATTTTCACTCCCAGGGGTGGAATTTAAGGGCTGTTTTTATTCTAGTTGCCCTTAATCAACTTTTTATTGATAAACTTACAAATTGTATAGGTGAAAAAAGGACCTCTATTGATTTATTGTAAACATATATATTCCAGTTAAGGTGGCACGGTAGTATTTCCTGGCCCATAAGGGATAATGATAGCCTTTTTAAACTTTTCACTACTTTCTAGCACTGCCCAAAATTCTATGTACACAGTTTACTGAAGTACTTTCATTATAATTTTCAGAAATTAATTTAAATATGTATCATGACCGTTTACTTTTTTTGCTATCTTTAAAAACCTAAGGCCACTAGTGCTTTTAGGTCTTTTATCATGCAGTGAATACAAAATTTAAAAAAATTCTCAAAAATTCATTTTCACCTGTATGTAAAATTATTTCATATTTTTCTACACCTGATTCATCCCTCAGTTTGGGAAAATATGTTCAGTTGATACTGTATTTTTTGTCCAATCACACTGTTCAAATACATTGACTTAGGTAGGGTACACAAAAGAGCAATCTAAATTCCGGAATGCAAATACTACCGTGCTACCTGGAAGTCTGGCCAACCAAATAGGGAATTGACGGCTTGAAGCCGTCTTTCCCAAAATCAATCTGACCAGCAAATAGTAAGTCTTGTTTTGAGTTTTTTGGCCAAAATTTCAATAGGATATTTTTTCTCTTTTGTTTCCAATTAGTTATTTCTTAGGGCAAAGATAACACTAAAACATGCAAAATTAAGGGCAATATCATACTAGTTATTCAGAGTATACAGTCTAAATTATTTTCCTTTGTTTTTCTGATCTATAAATCAAATTATGTTGGGAATTTATTTCTATAGACGCATACAATTTTTATACAAAGTTTCCTATCTTTTTTGTGCATAGAAATTGACACATACCAATTTATCAGTATCAAAATAACCTATATTTCTTGTTATTGTGGAATAGCAAATCCTAGAATCTCATAAATACCATCATTTATAATACTAAGGATTTTCTACCCAAGAAATAAGATTATCTTAGATGTTTCGGAATATTGAGTCCTCAATGCTCTTCAAATTTGTGGTTTATTTGGCCTTTTAAACTTTTTTATTCTTGCATCACTAATGAGTTTTTATAGACAAAAGCGTCTCTGGTGTAAAAAATTATAAGCCTGGTATCTTTGTTGAGTTTATTACATTTTTTTTTTAAAAGTCCTGAAAGTACAATATAGTTACTCAGTTACCTTAGGTTTTTTGTAGAACCCTGACAGATACCACTTTGTTACCATTTTTATTCTTGTGAATGGGTCCTCTGTTGTCACAGCACTGAAATAGTAGACACTTAGTTAACAAATTTGTGAATAACAGACACCAAATATAAAAAAAAAAACAACCTTCTTTTGTTATGCACAAATATTCACACAGTTGTGTAAAAATGTGTTTCCAAAGTGACACCTTTTAAAGAACAGTAAATATTAAATCTAAATTCTTAAGAATTTCATCTTGAAATATAATTCACATTAAAAACATTGCCTTAATTTTTCGTTCTTACAGAACATTTACAAAAGTTAAAAGTGCATCAATTTTAATTGGGATAATACAATGAAATAATGAGTAGTTATCATCTCTCTTTATTGCTGCAAACCAGAGCTTTTGTGCAGGAATGAATGATTCTTAGTCATTTGTAATAAAATTACTAATTTGAAAAGGAACATTCTTAAAGATTTGCAATTAACTGTTTGTATGATTTGCAATTAATTGTTTGTATGAAGGTCATTAACTTTCACTTTTGAACTTTGATATGAACAATTAACTTACTCTGACAATATATCGGCATGGTAGTGATAATCTGTTAATTTGTCCAGAAATGACCGTGGTTCAAGGATAAATGTTGGTAAAACCACTTTTGATAGGTCCATCCCAGGTCGTACCTGAAAATGGAATGTTTCAAAACATTTATGTGATATCCTTTAATCTGATTAACTTCATAGATAAACTGTTATCACAGAGATATGTCTCGCCTTTTTGTAATTTTGATAATGCAAATGTTGAAATTGAAATAGCAATACTTTAACATGTAAGTTATGCAAATATTCAAAGTCGATGAACCATGACTGAAGGTACATGGCTAAAAAATCTCCATGGAATGAGATGTGCCAATGCTAATACAACTGCATACCAAATACCATTGACTTATTATAAGTCGTTCCCTTTAAACAAACCTAAACACAAACATTAACTTGTAAACTATGTAAAAGTTCAAAGTCAATGAACCATGAACAGGGGTGGGGCTATATAATCTCCATGGAAATGATACTTGCAAATGCCAATACATTTGCATACCAAATATCATTGACTTAACATTAGCAGTTCATCTTAAACTGATCTAATCACAAACTAATACATGTAAACTAAGCAAAAGTTTCAAAGTCAATAGGCCATGACTGAGGGGGCGGGGCCAAATATTCTCCATGGAAATGAGATGTGCCAATGCTTATACAACTGAACACCAATTAACATTGGCCTACCACTACTGGTTCCCCTTGAACTGACCTAATCACAAACTAATACATGTTAACTTAGCAAAATTTTCAAAGTTTATAGACCATGACTAAGGGGACAGAGCCGAAAAATCTCCATGGAAATGAGATATGCCAATGCTTATACAACTGCATACCAAATATCATTGACCTACCACTAGTGGTTCCCCATAAATTGACCTAATTACAAACTAATACATGTAAACTATGAAAAGTTTCAAAGTCAATAGACCTTGACTGAGGGGGCGGGGCCAAATTATCTCCATGGTAATGAGATGTGCCAATGCTAATGCAACTGCATACCAAATATCATTGACCTACCACTAGTGGTTCATCATGAACTAGACCTAATCACAAACTAATACATTGTTGACGCCGCCGCCGGAAACAGCATACCTATGTCTTGCTTTTTGACTCCGTCAAGGCAAGACAAAAATGCACTGTTGTGTTAGGCATACCCCTTCAAAGTATCGGAAAACTAGAAGTAGGTATATGACAGACTCGAAAAGTGCTCACACTTTACAATCATCACTCTCAAGCTGCTGGCCAAATATGAAGTCAATCTCTTCAGTAGTACTTTATTGCAACTAAATTTTTATTTGAATTATTTGTTGGACAAACGAATGAACAAGATGATCGCAATAAAGCCCCAACTCCTGAAGTAGGGCATATCATAATAACTAGTTCATTTTCATGATACTAAATTCATCTACAGCAGAGAGGTTGGGTATTAAGGTCAATTTATTATTGATATGTTAATCTTGAATACCTTCCACAAGCATGAAAGCCATATACACAAATGTTTTTCCTAAGTAAAGAACAACAAAAATGGAATGTAGAGTTAATTTTCTGAGTGAAACATAATATCCAAATATAATATTGGACAAATGTGCTTTACCAAAAACTAAATATGGAACTGTGTGAACTTAACAAAAGGGGGAAAATCAATCAACACTTTATTAAAACTTAATTTAACATAAACTGTAGTCAAAACTAGATTTGTTGATATGCCACAATTCTATAAATGGAAACTGTCAAAGGTCATGATTTCATAAAGCATCATTATTCAATACAATTAAAAATGACACCAATAATTTATAAGCTTCAATAACATGAATATTTGTGAATATCGTCCTGAGATTTTTATATTGCACAAGCCTACCAGTGCAATGTATATTCTACATGATTTTTTACTATGAATTACATAAAATTTTCTTTTTCTTAGTTTAAATTAGTTTTTCTTTTTAACTGTATTCTTATGCCCTACCGTAGGCGACGGGGGAATTAAGTGTTACCCTTGACCGACCGTCTTTCCATCCTTCCATCCCTCCCTCTGTCCCATTTTTATTTGTTTTTAGCTTGAGTGGGGGCATCGTGTCCTCAGACACATTCTTCTTTTACTAGTTCTTACACTGACTGATTGACATAATCAAAAACTTATAAAACTAGTTCAACTCTGCCACAAGTATATGTGTCTGTCCCAAGTAAGGAATTGGAAAACAAAACAAAACATAAGAAAAATCACAGGGCTGAGGGAAAGGGCTTATTTCTATCAAAAGTAAAGTATTTTTTACCAGGCACAGAAGGAGTAAGGGCCACATTTACTCTCCATGGAGTAAAACATCTATCTACCTGTTTAACAAGTGTCCAAATCAAGCTTTTGTTTTCATCATCTACCTCTTCTGTTTGGCAGGCATCTCCTTGCTGCAAATAAATAAGTTTCTTTCATCTAATTTTCATGAGCTGTTCTTTTTTTTACTTTTAACCTAAGAGACTTTGACCTAACATTTATAAATAGTAAATAGTTATATTGATAACTAAAATTGGCACTGCTGAGCTTATTGCATTGGGTGTTTCATTTGCAGAGATTTTTAAAACATTTTTTGTTGTTTTTGTATTCTATAAATTATAATCTCATGGTTAACCTGCCTATCCCAATACTGCTGACAAGTTTTGTTATTATGATTATCTGAACCCTTTTCAGTCTCTTTAATTAAATAATAGGCTTTCTGAAATTCTGGTGAAAAAATTCGCATTCATTTATCTATTTGTTTAAATGGTTCTAATTATTAAAATGAAACATTGTTTGCAAGCCTTTGCAAACTTTACCATATAATATAATTACAGACTTTAACTTTCTGAGCATGTCTCTTATACCAACCTGTCCCAACTCTTCAGTGAAATTTTCTACATAGGGTGTCTCCAATGGTTGCTGTTGATTATTGATTGTCTTGTCCCCCTCCTCCTCTGACTCTGTCTCAGAATCGGTCTTCAAGTCTTCTCTATCTGTCTTCATGTCCTCATCAAGTCCTAATAAAATTAACAGTACATTTTTATCAATAGACTCACTGCCAGATTGCCTTTTGAGATAAGGCGGTGTACTATGCAAAAAAGATCAGATTATTAAGAAAGAGATATGGGGTATACCTCTACAAGACTACCAATATAAAATCTGACAAAAAGCACCTACATGTACCCATATTAGTTTTAATAATAGGCAAGGGTTTATAACATTAAGTCAAGATGATATCTGACTAAAATTTCAATGTCAATGATAAGTCTTATTTCATTGGTAAGTATCATGGCAAAGTTCATACATTTATAAACCAGCAGTTTCATGACATCACAAATATGCATTCCTGCACAGGAAAAATAGTTATTCATGAAATAATTTATTTGGGCATATTCAATAGTGCATAATTTTGTATTTATAAATAATGAAGGTAATTTTTACATGACACCGTTTATTGGTGTGTAAACTCTGTCCTTCACTCACAACATTGAATCCCTTGTATTTTCTTCTGTTTGCGAGTGGGTCAGCTGACTTTTCACATCAATAAATCCTTTCAAAATAACTTTATTTCTATCATCTTTTTTGCTAGATACTCATCATTCAACTAACATCAAGTCTTTCATGCATGAAAAATATGTCCTATTTTCAGACAGAGCTACATTTTAAAAGGCACGTAAGCATCAAAGATTGCAGTATCTTATTGTTCAAAACACATACAAGTATAATGGCAGGACATGAACCTTGACTTAAGTCAGGAACTTAAAGAGGGTACCGGTATTACAATGGTTCCCAATGACAACATTTTGTGGTTAAATGTAAGTGAAAATAAATGATCCAAAATATGATAACAGTACAAACTGTTTGCCCAATGATTTTAAAAAAGAGACTAAATACATTCAAGAGTCGACATATTCTAAATATGACAAAAAATATGAAAATCAATAGGAATAACTGATAATAAAGGCTGTTAGTAAGAATAAATATTATCAAAATAAAGATGAAGTAATTAAATCCCATTTGGTGATCAATTGTTGATCTGACCTCTTCCCTTCAATGTCAGAGCGTTTACAACATCCATGACTTTTAACTTTTTGTATGTATGTTTGTTAGACTGACAACAGCATGCCACAAGTTAGAGTTTTAGGGCATAGCTTTTTCAGCACAATTTACTTCGTCTTATCCTTAAATATAAAGGCAAACAATGATAAACATATAAATACTGTAAATTCAGAATTTAAAGCATTCATTTATTAGTGGTCATCTTCAATAACAAACAAATTGTATTATTTTTAATTTTAGTTTCTTGTGTACAATTTGGAGTTTAGTATGGCGTTCATTATCACTGAACTAGTATATATATTTGTTTAGGGGCCAGCTGAAGGACGCCTCTGGGTGCGGGAATTTCTCGCTGCATTGAAGACCTGTTGGTGACCTTCTGCTGTTGTCTGTTCTATGGTCGGGTTGTTGTCTCTTTGACACATTCCCCATTTCCATTCTCAATTTTAAAGTAATGTGGCATTTAAAATGTGAGTTCTACCAAGAAATCATGTGACATTTTACACATTACAGCTGCTATATTTGATTGTGTACTTCGCACATGAAAGTTAAGTTTGCTTGTTTGGTTGGTAAACCGTGAATAATTTATCAGATAATGTAAAAATAGAAACAAACTGGTTAAAGAAGTAATTCTGAATTTAAGGATGTACTTAGGTCAGGTTTATGAATTTTTGTCAGATGTTCGGACTCCTTGGTTTTTTCCCTAGGATACAAGGTAAAATATTTTGTCCCATAACACCCATTTTTCTTTTCATATAAGACTTCAATAGCTCGTTAAAGGTCATTTACCAAAATTTAAGCAGATTCTAGATTTCTTTTCTTTTGATTTGAGACCCAAATAATACCAATGTAAATATAAGGTAAAAGTCCAAGTCAGCCTTTTCCCGCCATTTTTTAAAGATAATTAAAATATCTCGAAAAGGAGCTCCATAACCTATCAATATTTATAGCTTATTTTGTTCCTTAACTAAAGCTCTTCTAACTTATAGTATCAATTTTAAATTCAAGATTTTTTTAATTTCACCTAAGTACATCCTTGAGGTAAACCATTAGAACAGATTTTGGAATGAAAGAATTATATTTCTAGTGAAATAAACTAAAAATATAATAACTTATCAAACAATAAGCTATTATTTCAATGAAAACAAAAACTCAAATACTCATGCACCACTGCATGCAAGTTAGGGGCCATTTTCAATAGACCTTATCGCTATTTGGAAATCTGCGCTGGTTGACCTGAGAATCTGCACCGTTTGAACTATTGACGTCATACAGCAATCACTTTTCCATTGTGGCGTCAGATATTTTGTATTATGACATTAAAATTTTAAGGGAACCTTTGTGATGTCCAGTAATGGCGGACAAATAGAGATAAGGTGTATATCAACTGGTTGTGTAAAGTTGAAAGAACACATTTTATGGTTTATTTGTACAACTTTTCTATGAAGTCTTAGAAATGAATTTAACCCTGCCATATGTTATTGTGTCTGATCCAGGCCATGAGAAATAAATAGATTTGACAAATATCTGATGCATTTATGACTGTGGTATTACTGTGCTTATTCAGTAGGTTTGGCCTATTACTATACCAATTGCTCAATAGTTTACCAAATTGCTGTTTGAATTCATCTCCACAAACTGATCCACTGGTAATATATTTCAAGTAATTGCTTCAGTGATAGGATGCTAGTGTGAAGTGAGTGCAGTTAAATAAGGTTATACTTACCATCCAACTTCAGTTAATTATTGTCGATGTCACCAATTCCAAATGATATAATGACTTAGTATAATATGAGGCACTGGTTTAAAAAGGCTTTACTTTATTGACATGAAAACTTCTATCCTAAATAAATTTTATAAATAACTAGTTCAAAACATTGTTTTGTTGATCAATAATTTATAGCTTTGTTTTCTAACAGGAAGTTATTGCATAATTGTACTTTGGATACATGTATATATTTTCTTTAAAGCAATTACTAATCTGCTTATTATAAAGGGAAATAATTTACATTATAATCAGCAAAATTTTGTTCTGTGAACTATCAACTTCCTTCATATTGACATTTTATAAGTAATTTGTTCTAAAAAAAAAATTTCCATGATTAGGGAACTACCATTTGATATCTATTGGGGGGGGGGGCTAGGATGAAAGATTTTGTCCTGCATTTTTTTTTAGTTGTAATCTCTGTCCTGCCTTTTTTTTTTTATTAGTTTATCCTGACTTTTTTTACATAAATTGTCATCCTGACTTTTTTTTTACTCAAAACTCCTGTCCTGCCTTTTTTCAAATATCATCCTAGCCCCCCCCCCATAAAAAATCAAATGGTAGCTCCCTTATTAAACCAATATATCTATTTTTAAGATTATTACAATTTTGAAAAAAAAACTGTTGGAAACATACTAATGGACACATCGAAAGTTGTATAAATCATAGACTCCTCTGTAAATTATCACCAGCCCAGTAGTCAGCAATTCTGTGTTGACATGAATTATTATTCTTATGGTCAAAATTATAAATTAACTGTTTTGCAAAAATTTGAATTGTTCAAAATACTAAGTATTTTCTACCCCTGATGATTAGATTTCTTATAAGCAGTATTTGGCAAAATATTTTTGGAATTTTGTTTCCTCAATGCTCTGCAACTTCGTACTTAATTTGGCATTTCAAATATTTTTATTCAAGCCTCACTGATGAGTCTTCTGACTAGGCAAAATTTGCGTCTGGCGTACAATATCATCAGCCTGATATATTTGATTAATTTTTTTTTTACAATGACGGAATAAAAATTATTTCCCTTTAATGCCAGTAGATCAGTAATTGTTATAGAAAAAATTATCCGACTTACAATTACACAATAACTTCCTGTCAGAAAACAAAGTGATAAATTATTGACTAACCAAACAATTGTAAGAACTAATTATTTATAAAATGTCATTCGGATCGAAGTTTTAATGTCAAAGTCAGACCATTTTAAACCAGTGCCTTATATTATAGTAGGTGATTATTTCATTTCTATAACATTACACAGACATTAAATAACTGAGCTTGGATGGTAAGCATTTTTTTCATTTCACTGCACTCACTTCATACTAACAACCTTTCACTGAAGCAATAAGCTAAAATATTTTACCAGTTGATCAGTTTGTGGAGATGAATTCAAACTACAATTTGGTAAACTATTTGAACAATTGTTATTGTGATAGGCAAAGCCTTCAGGATAAGCACTGTAATGGCATCTGTGACATTTGATTAGTTTCAGATACTGATGATTCAGTCAGCAACCTTGTCATAAATTTAATTTGAATTTCTCTACCTTATCATATATCACGAAGCTTGAAATAGTGACATATTCCAGCGGTTCATCTTTACAACACATTACATAGTAAGTGACTTGATCCCCAAGGCCTGGATAATTATTCGCTTTTATCGAAAATTTGTACATTGTTCCTTTGATCCTACTGCCTATCATTTGTTAAGATCATTGACCATGTTGACAGGACATAACATTCAAAAATTTTATGTAATGACATCACATATTAACATTGCAGCAATGTCACTTATTTCATCTCCATCTGTGATAATTCATTGATGAATGCACAGGACACTATTCATACAACTGGTAGTGTAAACAAGTACTGTAAATTCAGAAATTATTATTGCAAATTTTGTAGAATGGCCTATAATGCGAAATTAATTATTGTGATTTCAGGAGAATCTGCATACAGTTCATGTATCAGATATAAGAATGAAGGTTCTTATTATGGCGATACTCATTCAGCCGCATTTTTCGCATTAATAAAAATCTTGCAATAATTTCTGAATTTACAGTATTCAAAAATTTTATGTAATGACATCACATAACAATGCAGCAATGTCACTTTTTTTAATCTCCATCTGTATTTATTTACCAATGGATGCAAAGGACACCATTCATACAACCAAACAGCAATGTTGTAGTACGTGTAAAAAGAGTTAGTCTAACTACTTCATGTTATTTTATATTCTGCCAAAAGAAACATATTGTAAAGACAGATTTGTAATAAAAAAAAATGGCATTTTATTTTTCTATACAAATTGTTATTGTCTGATAAAGTCAGTATCAAATGCTCAAATCTCATTCTTTTATATATGCATTACCTCACTACAGACAACAAGACAAAATGTACAATTACTTATAATGCATACTGTGGATTCGTTTATTATCATTGGTTCAAATTTTCGTGGATTGAGAAAAACTTACATTTTCATGGGTACTTGATTTTGTGGTTTTGCCAAAGTCTGCATACAAGCAGAAAAAAAATTTGAAATTAGTTGAAGATTTAATTTGTGGTTCAAATATGAACAGCAAGAAAATTGGTATCCAACTAAAAATAATGCATTTACAGTAAGTATAGTATGTGCTAGCATAAATCTATCATTCAATAATTGTACTTTACTGTGTAATACTCAACTGAGATAACTGTACACTTAACTTAACTTTTTTGATTTGAGCGTCTGACACTGACGAATCTTTTGTAGATGAAACACATGACTGGCGTTCAAAATTTAAATCCTGGTATCTATGATAATTTTAATTATTACATTGGTTGCAATGAATTACATTGATTTCCCAGTGAAAAAAAACCGATAATTTCACATGTAAAATAAACGTGGTTATTTCACTCCTCTGACGTCATACAACAATAGGTGTTGTCAAAGCGTCGATAATGTCGGATCAAAACAAATTGTGAATGCGTAAAAAAAGATATAGTTCCTTACATTTTCTACTTTAATTTCATAAAAAAGCCATTTGCCAATGTAATAAAAAGAATAACTAATCAAAGAATTCAAATATCGAAAAATATTCAACTCGTGACCGAACATCACTGATAATTAACTCATGCGCTCATCGGTCACTCGTTGAATATTTTTCTCTATTTGAATTCTTCGATTAGTTATTCTATATTTAAACTGTTATAGAAATATGACAAATGCTGTTCAATATTAGAATATCTGACCAATTTGCCATATCAGAACCTAAAGGACTATAGGCAATTTCTTTGTTCATATAAAAAAAAATGAAGATAACATGACATCACTGGTTTAACTTCTATTGTTTAGGCCATTGTTAACCAATTACAATATTTGGTATACGCTTTTGAAAATATAACCTAGAATATATTATATTCTCAAACAGTGAATTATGATTATCTATTGGATTATCTTTTAAAATGTGCTGCAAAAAATTGACAGGAATAGATTGTGTTACAGTGTATATATATCAGTGTTGAACCATGTGACAGGCAAGATGCAAAAAGCTGCAAGGTCAAGGCATCACTAAGTGAATGATAAAGAGATTTTTTACCTAATTCATTTATTATAAACCAGGGAAATATATTTGAACCCGTATTTCATCAAATTTTGAAAACTGATACAGTGATTATTAATTAAATCTTTGAATGATCAAAACTAATTGCAGATTCAAATTTTAATTTTTTACTCAATATTCACTCTTTTAAAAATTATCTCCTTTTTAAAACAAGTCCAAATAATATTGGTCAATGTTTTTTGAAGCTACAAAATGGCATATTCAATTTTCAAAAAATATTTACAAATACATGATATATGACTATTCATTTACATTAGGCATTAAAAAGATTTATAACAAGAAAAATAAAATTTTGTATTATATCTATCATAATTTTTAGTAGTTATAAAAATCATATAAAATATCCCAAACCCTCCAATGCCTATCGTTTTGAGGGGTAAACTTCTTTACCAAGGGCAGATATTCACATAAACTGAAAGAAGGGAATCAATCATGCTAACTAGCCTATTCTGAATAACTCATTCTGAATAACTTAAGTTAGTAAGCAATATTTAGTGTGATCACATGCCGTACCAGGCAGGCAAACTAAAAATCATGCAGAGGCAAAGAATTACTCCTCCGCCATTCAACAACATAATATTGATAAGATCAAAATGAATCAATGTATATGTGAGAAATTCCCGACAGCATGATCAAAAGAAAATTTCTGAAAGCCTGGCAAGATTGATGGCCCATTACAGGGTTTTGAATAAGCCAGAGGAAAAAGGAATTATCATTTTAAATGAACTCACCAAAAACAGATTCTAAAGATGAAAAATTTCAAAAACTTTAACATGTGCAAATATATTTTGTCTATAAATGCTTTCTTATTCTTTAATTCAATAAAACTCTGAATTTATCCCTTAATCCGTTTTGTTACTTTGTTAAAAAAATAGCAATTATTACAGCTCAACTACTACCTCTACCAAATTCTCCCTGCCTTTCTTAAATGATGAATTTACAATGCACAGTCTTAGCTACCGTGTACTTAATTAACAGCATCAACAAACAAAATCAAAACTGCTGTATAAATGTTGACACAAATCCTTACATTAAACTAGCATTGAGGTATTCATGCTAACACTGACCATGTTGTCACAAAGGGACCAGGAAGTAAAAACATAATTTACAACACCACATCAGAAAACATTAATTTCCTCTAGAAACTTTCAGATTCGCCATATAATTTGTATACTGCTATGTAGTGTATACTTTTACATCTGCACCAAACTTATAATACTGTCTTTTTTCCAACATCAATTTGTGTTTTTTTCATTACTTTCAATATCACATTGTCAAAGGTACACCTTAGAGCATAAATGTAATACAGTATTTGAGAAATTAGAAGTAGAAACTGTATAATACTGTGTACATATCTGTGAAAGGGTAAAATTACCTATAAATAATATCATTATTCCTTAGATTTATAAATTCTCTTAATAGACCATCAACAAAACTTATCATCTTTACCTTGGTCCTCAAAATGTTTTTCACAATCACTCTCATTTAGATTTTCGCTGAGCTGTTGGTTACTGTCAAAGTTCAAATCAGCATCAGGCTGACTGTCTTGTGATGTATCTAGGTCAACATCTTTCTTCATTGACCTCATTAACAGATTGGTACATTTTAATGACAGTTCGAGTGCATCCATCCAGCATTTCCCTAAAATTAAACAAGAATACATGTTTTGTCATACACTAACTTATAACTCAAAGTATGGGAAAACAGGAAGTAGATGTCTGACAAATAAAATAAACTGCTTCGCTGAGCGCAGCTAGATACGCCCGCAGAGGTCCAACCCTGAACAGTTGGGGCAAAAATGGACACAATATTCAAGCTTGATTCAGGTATGAATTTGGATTGTAATTAAATATTTGACATATTATAGGTTTCTGAATAAATGTAGTCAAAGAACTTGAAATTGGTTATATGAATTGAATTTATATTCAATTAAATATTTCTTGCTGTTGTGCAATACTTAGTATATTTGTTGTCAGACTATAAACAAATAAAGTTCAATTAATTCTCAATGTCATATCAGAAATTTATGAAAATAAAAAGGGAGCTTACATCAATAGATATAAACAATTCACCAAAGTTTCATGAGAATTGGTGACAGCATTTTTGAGTTATTGTCAGAAAACTGGAAAATCACCCCTTTTTTTAATGAATAAAACCCCATAACTCAGAAATGTAAAATGTAAAATTTATAAAAATCTAAACGGAGCTTACATCAATACATACAAACAATTCACCAGAGTTTCATAAGAATTGCTGAAAGCATTTTTGATTTTTTGTCCGAAAACTGGAAAATCCCCCCTTTTTTTATGAATAAAACCCTGTAACTCGGAAACGTAAAATCTAAAATTTATAAAAATCGAAAGGGAGCTCATGTCAATAGATATAAACAATTCACCACAATTTCTTGCAAGTTGGTGAAAGCATTCTTGACTTATTGTCCGAAAACTGGAAAATCCCCCTTTTTTTAATGAATAAAACCCCATAACTCGGAAACTTAAAATCTAAATTTTATAAAAAACGAAAGGGAGCTCACGTCAATAGATATAAACAATTCACTAAAGTTTTATGCAAATTGGTGAAAGCATTTTTGAGTAAATGTCCGACATGTTGACGACGGACAGACGGACGGACAGACGGACGGACGGATGGACGGACAGAGGTATACCATAATACGTCCCGTAAACGGGCGTATAAAAAAAGCACACACATTACAACTCATCACTATTAAGCTGTTGACCAACTATGAAGTAATTCTGTTCTTAAATATTGGAGAAATAGATGACAAATTTTTAAGTTCATTCAACATATATTAGAGACGGGTATAATTAATCATTTGAATACTGTTGAATTTTTAAATTTGAAACTTGTATAAATGCCAAGGCATGCAAATATTAGTATACTGACTAGTTATCACAGTTTACAGGAATAATCTGTCCCACCTAAAAGTCACTTTTGTCTCTTATCTTACAGGCAGATTAGCTAGTATGTCCAATTTAAACAGCATAATCAATTAAACTAAAGAAGTAAAGATCAGTTTGACATTGCCTTAAAAGAGATTTTAGGAGAAGTATACATTTTCCAAGTAGGGTTGCCAAATGAGCCAAGACATCAAAACTTACAAGATATGATAAAAACCATAATTTGCTACAGACAAGGTGTTATACATTTGTATATCAAGTTGGAATTATAAATCAGTGTACTATAGTACTAATTGTTTCTTCTTTTTAAAATCTTTAAGACAAACACATGCATATCAAGAATGAACATGACATGGTTTTTACCATATCAGCATATGTCTGACATCACCTGTTTATTCTAAATCAAAACAGGTCAGAGGTTATTATACAGCAACAGTTGTCTCCCCTTTAAATCAAAAATTTAATTAAAGCTTATAAAGCAAGTATGAATATGGCAGTGATATACTATGGCACCAATTGTTAATCTTTACCTGCTGCTTCAGACAAAGCCCTACATATCAAGTAGGAATATGGCAGTGGTTGTACTATTGCACCAATTGTCTCCCCTTTTGGTCCCTGAAAATAAACAAATAATGATTATAATCTGAAAATGTATATTTTACATTAAGAATTTGTAAAAACTAAAAGTAATACTACTAAGTTTACACCTATTTATGTTTTTACAAAGTACTGTAACACTATAAAATGATAAAAGGAAATGTGAAGAAAAAATCATGCATATGAATTATGCCACCTGTATACATCATTGTACATATTAACAAATAAAATACAATAAATAATTCCAGAAGGAAATTTGGAGTTGGATGAAGAGATCTTATTTCCTATAAATGAAAATACTAGCCAATACATACAAACAGAGGACCATTTACTTTCACTTTCATTCACACCAATACAACATATAAATACAAGCTAATAATATACATTTAGAGTCCACTTACTCTTCCTTTCAACTCCTATTGTAATAAATTCAAGGGAAATTTCTTTTTTTATCATTCTTGTTTTTATCTCACCAAAGCAGCTATTCAATTGATACTTTTTATCAACCATATCCATCATTAATCAGCACATTTTTAACGATAATGTTAATCCTCAATTATGTAAAAATAACAAATAACACAAAAATTATTGTTAATATGATGCAAGTTTTTTTTTTATATACCACCTACACATTTCTGTATTTAAAATAGAAGTATCATACTCAAGTGTTCTTTTTTCTTATCTTATTCTGTTTGACATTATGTCTCAGTGCTCTTTGTAGTTGTTTCAATTATTCAATTAGTACTTAGATCATCAAAAAATGACTAAACTCATATAAAAAAAGAGCCAAAGACTACAAAACTGTTTGAAACATAGAAAAAATATTTGTTTCATAATACTGCACCTTAGTAGCCCAAATAGATTGATCCAGAGGATGAAATAATTTAAAACAGAATCCATCTTTCTTTGAAGGTCTCTCTATCAGTCTACATGTATTCAGCAGTACAGTTCCAACCCAGTGACTACTCTGAAACAGAACAGGAAAACTAATTGAAAGTCATTCTTTTAATACATTCATATAATAAATATATCTCAATTTACATGTCCAAATTACATTTCTAAGTTCTATATTTTGGTTGAAATTTCAGATTTGTTTTATCTCTCATAGGCAATTGTCTGCATTCAGATGTCTGAAGAGGACAGAAATTTTGAAACCAGAAATTGCTGTCACTGTAAGCAGGTAAGAGACAAGAGAAACCTTACTCTTTATTGCATAGCCTAAATGTCATGGAAAATTATACATTCTGGAGGGAATATGCACTTGAAAGGTATGCTATTTTGCTCATTGTTGAAGGTCGTACAGTGACCTATAGTGGCTAGCTTTTACGTCATTTGGTCTTTGGTGGAATGTTACCTTATTGGTAATCATACCATATCTTCATATTTTTATATCAATTTTAGTCCAATGTATAAATAAAACATTTTGTGATCAATGTCAATTAGTAAATAGGTTTTTGATATATTAAAAAAATAGTTTCTTAATATCTAGTTTACATAATCTTCAAAAGAATATGGTTGATCATTACCTGTCAATTTACATGAATTCTAACCTCCTACACTTTTAAAAATATACATGTATCTATATGTCAGAATAACTTGAGTCATTAACATACAGGCAACTCATGTCAAAGAATGTCTAAATATTTCCAATGCTCTTAAATTTTCCAGGTTTACACTTCTCATACATAAATATGCTTAAAATCAATTGTAAAACCAGAGTCAACTTGGTCATAATAAATAGCTCAAATTGAACTGAGAAGATGAGTTCTCTTCCAAACATAAAGTTATCTTTCATGTCTTTTCTTACCTTTTGTTTTTCACTTTTGTATAAGACAAGTAGACCTGGTTTAATCACACACCATAGTTTGGTCCAACCTTTTAATGTCCCCCTGACTTTAAGCCAGTCAGCCAACACAATCACAGAAGCATCTTTTAATGTACTCAGCAATTCTTTGGTCGCTTGTTTCTTCTGGTTTCTATAGTATTTCTTTTGTACCTTTATATATATCATAGGAGGGTGTATAAAAAGGTAATTTGATTATTACATTTGCTAACTATACAAAAATAATTACTGTAAATTAAGAAATATCTATGAAGATTTTATCATTGCAAAAATTGAGACAGAATAGACTCTTGACAGCAAAAATAAATGCTCATATTTTAAAATTTTGACATTACTTGTATGCACCATTTCCTGAAATCATGATAACTAATCTCACATTTTGTCCATTGATCAACAGTATCAATAATAAATGCCCACAGAAATTTTCTGAATTTACAGTATTTTTCTTCACTGAGCGATAGTTTTGTATTGTATTACTAGTTACTTACAGATCATTTGATGTTAAAATAAGAGGATGTGATTTAAATACCAATGAAACAACATTTAACCATAGAATGAGGATGTAAACAATTATATTGTTCAGGTAAGTTTTTTATTCTCCTTTATATGTGGTTCTTTAAATCTATTCTACATAAATATAAACGGTTGCTGTGCACTATAAATTCTCGTCATATTTTGTATCTTAGTAGAAGTTTAACAAGGGACCACAGTGGCTTAGTGGTCTAAGTAGTGTATACCTATAAAAATAGCCTGTCAACACTGAGGTTGTGAGTTTGAACCCCACACGTGGCATGTGTGTTAGACTGCTATCTTAATTGACTTGGTTTGCCAGTTTTCCTGATGAATGTTGGTGGTTCTCTCCGACTTCCTCCATCAATAAAAACTGGCCGCCACATTATAGCGATGAAATTAGCATTAAACACCAAAGATCCATCAAGAAGGTTATCATCTACTCATAATTTACCTTCAAAGATTCTTTCTTCAACAATTTAGATGAACTGTTACCAGCTTTATCTTGTGACCCCTGAGACAACTTAGACTCTGACTGAAATACAAATGTTAAATAAGGAAAAAAATTCTGAAAATGATCTACTTAATCCATAACATGATAACAATAACCTCATCTTTAAGACTTCTTTACAAGATAAATTTTTGAATCAAAGGTCAAGTTATTACAAAATTAATCATCTAAATGGCTAAATGCTTCTACATATAACATTTGTATGATTTGTAACTTAAATTTGCATCTTGAAACATTTGGCAGTTTAACATATGTTTAAGCATTAATTTTGTACACAATATCCAAAACCAATCGATTATTTAACATGTGGTTCAATTTAACCAACAAAACTCATTATTCATGTAACATGTACTGATGTATTAAAAGCTTCATGCACATCCGTGTGTGTGTTTCATCTGCTCAATGATTCAAGATACATGTTTGATTTATAGAATGGGAACAAAACAAACAAACAGAAAATAAACAAAAGTACTGAACTCCAAAGTAACAGTAGGTAAATCAGGAAAAAAAATTTACTTTCAAACATTCCTGTACTAGACTCCAAGTAAAGAAAATCTGAAAATAAAAATGTGTCTCGCCTGCAATTGCTGCTCTCAGTGTAAAAGTATAATGGTGACTATAAAAGTCCATTCATCAGTAAAATACAAAATCATTTTTTTTAATCAAACTTTTTTCTTCAGATGCTATTTCTGGATCTTGAAAATTAGCTTCTGTCATTCATAACAATTCATGAAGGATAACACATTTACCATGTCAACAAAATTTATTTGAGAATGTCTATAAATGTAAACTGCAAAAAGCTAAGTCCATCTATCAGTAAAATACTGAAAAATGAAGTATATCTTTTAATTATAAATTAAAAAGCTTCTGTCAAAGTTTCATCAATTCTATCAAGGTTTGAAAATTTACTTGATGCCTAACAACTTTAACAACAGACTGTTTCTACATGTTAACTGCAAAAAAAAACTAACTCTTTTATCCCCTAATATATCAAGGTTTTAAAAATTTTGAATTGATGAAAACATTTTCTTTTTCCCTAGCACCTGAGATCACTCTTAGTTTTTGGTGGGGTTCGTGTTGGTCAGTCTTTAGTTTTTCTATGTTGCATTTTGTGTACTGTTGTTTGTATTTTGGTCTCTTTAATTTTTTGCCATGGCGTTGTTTATTTTCGACTTTTTGGTATCTTTCGCCTCTCTTTTGGGATGTATTGCCTTGCCTCTAAAGAGTTCTCTGAAAAGGATAAATTGCCTCTCCTCTAAAGAGTTCTCTGAAAAGGATAAATTGCCTGAAATAATTCAAAAGAAACATCGTAATTCATAAACAATAAACTGTTGACACAGAGATATGCCTTGCCTGTCTGCAGAAAATTCGAAAAAAGACAATCTGTTGGACAGCAACATTGCAACAATTAAAAGTTGTTGGACCATGACCTAGGGGGCAGAGCCTTGAAATAGTCATCAATCTGATTTGTACTGAAAGTAATGCAACATTATAGAAAATATCATTGATCTATCACAAGTAGTTCCTATCAAACTGACTTAAGCAGAAAAGATAACATTGATAAACTGTTAACACAGAGATATGTCTCGCCTATTTATTATTTTGTTAATGCAAATGTTGAAATTAAAAAAGCAATACTTTAACATGTAAGTTATGCAAATATTTAAAGTCAATGAACCATGACTGAAGGTACAGGGCTAAACAATCTCCATGGGAATGATATGTGCCAATGCTAATACAATTGCATACCAAATACCATTGACTTTTCATAAGTCGTTCCCTTTAAACAAACCTAAACACAAACATTAACTTGTAAACTGTAAAAGTTTCAAAGTTAATGAATCATAATGAGGGGGTGGGGTTATATAACCTCCATGGAAATGAAACTTGCAAATCCAAATATCATTGACCTAACATAAGTGGTTCATCTTAAACTGACATAATCAAAAACTAATACATGTAAACTATGTAAAAGTTTCAAAGTCGATGGACCATGACTGAGGGGTAAGGACCAAATATTCTCTATGGACATGAGATGTGCAAATGTTTCTACAACTGCATACCAATTGTCATTGACCTACCACTAAAAGTTCCCCTTAAACTGACCTAATCACAAACTAATACTTGAAAACTAAGCAAAAGTTTGAAAGTCAATAGACCATGACTGAGGGGGCGAGGCCAAATAATCTCCATAAAAATGAGATATGCCAATGCTTATACAACCGCATACCAAATATCATTGACCTACCACTAGTGGTTCCCCATACACTGACCTAATCACAAACTAATTCATGTAAACTAAGCAAAGTTTGAAAGTCAATAGACCATGAATGAGGGGCCAAAAAATCACTATGGTAATGAGATGTGCCAATGATAATACAACTGCATACCAATTATCATTGACCTACCACTAGTGGTTCACCATAAACTAGACCTAATCACAAACTAATACATTGTTGACGCAGCTGCCGCCGACACCAGAAACAGCATACCTATGTCTCACTTTTTGACTCTGTCAAGGCAAGACAAAAATTGCTAATTAATTCAAAGTCACTGGATCATGACCTAGGGGGCACGGCCTCGAAATAGTTGTCACACTGATATGAACTGATAGTAATGCAACTTGATAGAAAATTTCATTGATCTATCACAAGTAGTTCCTATCAAACTGACTTAAGCAGAAAAGTTACCATTGAATTAATTATTAATTGAAAGTTACTGGACCATGACCTAGGGGGCAGGGAATCGAAATAGCCATCAAACTGATAGTAATACATTTTTTTCATTGATCTATCACAAGTAGTTCCCGTCAAACTGACTTTAGCAGAAAACGTAACAATTGTTGATGCATCCTCCTCTGTTGTGGCCGCCAGAAAAGCAATACCTATGATTTTCATCGAGACAAAAAACAGGTACATAAAATCTAGAACAATGGACCATCAGGACTATTCCATTACTACTTTCCTGGTATGCCCACATTTCTGACCTTTTCAATTATTATATTGAGATATAACTGAACATGCTTTAACTTGTATTAAACTAGTACACTGAGTCTGATTGTTTTTAAATTCTAGCTATTGATGTAATAGAGTGCATGGAACTCCAAAAGAAACATTACAATGATTCCAATCAACATGATCAAGCTTTGCTTTTATACTCCTAAGTAGGAGGACTAAAATTCCAAAATAAAAGTCCTTAGTTTCACCCTGTAAAGGATATATCTGACCACCTTGCTCATTCAAGATGAACATGATACTTACTGCTCAACCACTGAGGCAGTTCTTTACTATTAAAGATAAGTAATGTTTTACTTTCTATGTCATAAGCCAATGGTAATAAAGGGAACTAACTCCCCACCAATAACTGACACTAGTGTTTACCCTGGTAAGAGAAAAGATAAAGTGGACTAATTACCAAGGGTCCGGAAACGGTCATATATGCCAGTCATGTCCTAAGATGAAACTATTTGTCCTAAACGAGTAATTGGGATTTAGGACAAATTTTATTTTTTTAAAGAAGTAATTTCAGTCATTTCATTGACTCAATGTTTGAAATCGGATTTTTTAATTGTCATTTGCACTGTCTTGTGTAAGTTGTGATCACTTGTTTTTGTTTATAATCCCTTTCCTGTAATAAAACTGCCACTCCCGTAGTTTGATAATCCTGAGGGCCCTCCTAATATCTATATCAATGACTCCGGTAAACATTGGCTAATGATCGCTAATCACTTTTTACCTGTGGTTTTAATAGACGTATTTACACTTGTATGCAAATTTGTCCGCAATTACGTAAAATCACACAGGTTCCCGTAAACTTTGACATCATAATTCAAAACATTTGACGTCACAATTAAAAAGTGATTGTTGCCTGACGTCAAAAGGTGATTCGGAGTAGATCTAAGGTCATTCGGTGGCAAAATATAGCTAAATACCAAAAGTGTAAATACGTTTATTCACACCTGACAGTGATCACAAGCTCAGAATAATATCTTAACAAAAATTGAAATTCCCTGACAAGTGTATTCATTATTTAATTACTTTTCAGCAAAGACAATCATCAAATCTGATTTAAAAATAAAACCTAAATTTACGGAGAAAAAAGTTTTTTTTTTCATGTGCTTTATTTACTATATAATACGCATGCGTGAAATTGTCTTCAGCAAATTTAATATTTAATTGTAAAATGCAAATTGATTTCATGCTAAATTAAACGAGTGCAACTTTTGTCTGTACATTTAAACACTTTTAATGGTAATAAAACAAAAAAGCCATAAAAAGTCAGTGATTTCCTGTCAATTTGATAAACAAAACAAATCCCGGAAATGAATCTGGAATTATTCGTACTTTAACTTTATCGCAAACTTCCGGTTTTAACTTTTGTCAAATCGAAAGAAACGTAAGCAATGTCTGAGAGATTTACCATTTTGAGTCATTAAAACCATTTCAATTTTAAACTATTGCCTTCCCTCAACTGTTCTTCATGGTAATGGTAAGACATTAGTAAATGCGATGAAACAGCAATACAAGTTCGTTGATGCTATGAATCTAGTCAAGTTGACATCGACAATTTGGAAAGGGGCACCAACTTTTCAATCATCTCAAAATGACCGAAATTGTGTGGAAAAATTTCCGGATCCTTGCTAATTACCATCTATAACTTACACTTACACTAGCTCTTGACCTGGTAGGAGAAAATACAGGAGAGGATATTGACTGTGGTATACCTCCGGACGACTCAAGGGAATTGTTGTCTTCACTGGTGCCTGAAAACAAAATGTTTATTCTATTAAAAAATACATTTCTTTCTGAAATCTTAATAAAAACAGGATTCAATTAAACTAGATTTAAAGTTATCATAATGAGATAATTATACAGCATATGTAAACATATTTCACCAAGATGTCATTAAATGAAAATGGATGGTCTGCATTTATCATGCTTTTCAGCTTTACCACAAAATGATCAGAACTAAATATCTTGGTGTAAATAAGATTCACCCAATTGGGATAATACCTTCATGGGTGTATCTAATACATACATTGTGAAAAAGTAACACATAGCATTTCACATACCACCATTTGTAATATCCATAGCCCTCCCAATTTTTGTTTCTGCATTAAGTGCAATCCCAATAGTACTTCTAAATTCATTAATGAAGAGAGGTTACATGTACTTTTAAAGACGACTTACCATTGACAGGATTTTTGCCACCTGTATCACCTGTGCTACCATGACGAGGCATACTTTTTAGTCTTCATTCACTGAAATATAAATGTAACTTATTTAGTTAATAGATCTGTACATTATGTTTTCACAATTGCCTCTTGTGTCAAATAATTCAGAAATCCCAGTAAGTAGAATAGGCAATACTTTGCAGATAAGGAAAAAATTGAGATTTGTTCAACACTTCTAATATAAAATGGTTATATACATCATATGGATTTATATATACATGTTATGTTGATTTTCTGGGCACTTATATATATATATTCTAAATATGATTAATTAAAAGTTTTTCCTTCCTGGTTCAAATCAATAAAGAGCCAAATATCAACAATTCATTTCCTTTAGCTTATTCACCAATAATTTGCATGTTCATGCCAGTAGAAAACACCATGGCGGCCATCTTGGTTGGTTGGCGGGGTCATCGGACACATTTTTAAAACTAGATACCCTAATGATGATTGTGGCCAAGTTTGGTTAAATTTGGCCCAGTGGTTTCAGAGGAGAAGATTTTTGTAAAAGTTAACAGACGAAGCCGGACGACAACGGACGCAAAGTGATGAGAAAAGCTCACTTGGCCCTTCGGGCCAGGTGAGCTAAAAAGGTTGTTCAGCATTTTACTATCATCCAATCAATTTTTTTTTGTTGGAAATCTTTTGATAAGATATAAAAACAAAGACCACCTATAAAGGGGACTGAGATTTTTTTTAGCTTTTAGCTTACAGGACAGCAAGAATGTCATATGATTACAAAAAATGTACTTTTGTTTTTGAAAATGAACTAAGACATTACCAATTATGTGTCAAGATAGGATTATTTCTTCAATAAAGAAGTAATAATTGGGATGATTATGATAAGGTTATTAGAATTACAATTACTACATGTATATGGAAAAAAGATAATCAAACATTGGGAAACAGTAAATACATTTGGGCATGTGGTTTTCACTTATCATTTTGGACAAGAATAACACGGCAGGTGCCAATAGTGTACCAGTAAGTGGTAAACCTTGATCCCCTGGTGTTTGGTAAGATTTCTGTGGCTCAATCTACAGTTTTCTGTGGCTCAATCTACAGATTTCTGTGGCTCAATCTACAGTTTTCTGTGGCTCAATCTAAGTTTTCTGTGGCTCAATCTACAGTTTTCTGTGGCTCAATCTACAGTTTTCTGTGGCTCAATCTACAGTTTTCTGTGGCTCAATTTACAGTTTTCTGTGGTTCAATCTACAGTTTTTTGTGGCTCAGTCTACAGTTTTCTGTGGCTCAATCTACAGTTTTCTCTGTAGTGTTTTATGGCCTATAGTTTATATATTTGGTCATGGTGATGATGGTGTTATGTGTTTTTCTTTTTAACTTCTGGGTTTCGATTGCCACCTTGAAAGTCCTTGATAGAAAAACAAATTCTTATAAAAAAAAATGCAAATAAAGTAGGGGACAGTTTTAAGTGTAATCTCATGAGGAATGTAGATTTAGGGTGTGTCTACATGGTCTAGCAATCTTTAAACACAAAAATAGAATATAACATGCACTCGATCCTGTTTACAAGTCCATGTACTTGCACATTAAAACCAATATATAAGAAAATTTTATGTGTAAAATGCAGACATGTACTGGTGAGGCCGTAGTTCTCACCAGGAAGCACTTCTCACAACTACTTCTTGTTACTAACATGACACTATGCAGTTTGTTTTCTTCATAATAATTTCATCAAAATAAAAATTTTGATAATAAATTTTGTTCAAAAAGTCATTTTATATACATGATACATGTATAAACAATTCATAGACTAGTTTGAGAATATGAAAGGGTTTTAGTCAATTTTAGACAACTGCATAAATTGTCTCTTTCTTATATTAATAGAATTCTACATGGACACATGGTGGACAGTGATTTATTAGAAAAAATATCAAAGTAAAGATAAAAACAGAAGCTATAAGGGTAAATATCCTTCAAACTTTCAATTTCCTGCATTTAGAAGTCAAGATTTCAATCATGCTATTGAAAACCAGGAAATAATGTATTGTTAAAGGTTAGAATAAAATATTAAAATAAAGATACAAAAGCCATATGTGTACATAGATTCTTCAAACTTCCTATTTCCTCCATTTAGCATGTTAAGAAGCTTTGTATTATGCTGTTGTAAAGTTAGGAAATAATAATATTGTTTAACATGTTTAAGGCAGTCTTCAAAAATCACTTTAATTACTTTTTTCCTGTTATGTCAACATTTATAAGTGGGCTGTTGTTAAAGTATTAGTTATTAAACTTTGACTAATGCTTATCTAGAAAAATGTCTAGTCACCTGTAAAATTCTAACAACTTCAAGACTAAACATGCTAAATATATCCTGATTTAGACATCTTGAAATAAGTAATAAAGAAATTTTATATATATATTAAAGCAATGCAATTAGTAATTTAGTAATTATTCATGACCCATGTTAATAGCTAATAAAACATACCAACACCATTAACTTTTTTATAAACTGAATTATAAATGCAAAAGGAATAAATTTAAAATAATTTAACCCATCTTCCAATGTTTTAGTAGAATTAGTAAAAGAACCATGAAAATTTCATTCACCAGTATTGACCAAATGAGGAGTAAAGACCGGGGCAGCGAATACCAAGGTTGGTATTAACTGCCCAACCTTGTCGATTATTTAAAATTTATCGAAAATTTCAATAATCAATATATTTTCACTTTTTTAAATCGTTAATTGGTATATCAAAACTTCACAGTGTCTTCACTACTTGAAACATGTTCATTTAATTATCACAGTACACCAAATACCATGCACATGAAGACAAAAAAGAATGAAATTACAGATCATAAAGACAAGCAATCTTTGGAAGGAACAACAACAGTGTTGTAACTTGTTGAACAGGGAGAGATGAAAATCAAAACTATAGAAACCTGAAACTTTAATATGGCTATTGCCATTTATGAACATTTTGATGTGTAGCTTATCAGTCCGAGACAGTGAATATTATTAGTGCTACTTGTATTTTCTTAACATATATATTTCTGTGCAAATATTAATTAACTAACCCTTTATATTAAACTTTGTTTCATATGTGTAAACTGTAAAAAAGTTATGGTCACCCAATAGTTGACTTTTACATTCATGCATTTTCCTATATATTTTCAATGTCACAATGCTAATTTCCATTGAGGTGAGAGTTTTTGCTCCTTGCTGAAGGCCTTACTGTGACTTTGAGATGAAGAACAGTAATGAAAGGGCTGTACCTTTGATTTTTGTGTTTTTTGCTGTGCATGTACTGATTTTGTGTCATGGATGGATATCCCATACATCCTTTCTTTTCTATAAGTATAATGTTTAAAACGTGTCAGAGACGATTGCTCAATGGCTAAAGATGCAACAAAAGAGGCCTCAACACTAAATGACCAATACAATATCAGATTTAAGAAGTGCAGTCAGGATGTCAACAAAACTATAATGGCAAAGTAGATAGACCATAAGTGAGACTGGGAGAAAATTGTATGATCTTGTACCTATTGTTGATAAGGTTGTCAAACTCGATTATCCAAACCCCGAAAGAGGGAGAATTTTGTCTGAATTACAAACAGGCTACAGCAGATAAAGTACTGCAATCAAATATGTCAAGCCCTCAGGCCATATCACAAATGTGGTCAAAAAGAAAATACTGAACATTTCCTACTCAACTGTACAAAAAACCAACAAGGAAGAACAGAAATGATACAACAGTCATGATAGTGAGAGAATTGGAACATCCAGGCAGATATGGCAACACTAGTACACTACTGGCACTAACAAGCAAAGAGACCTACGAAAGAATAGCACATATTATTAGAGGATATTTAGAGAGTACAGGGCAATTTCGAGAACTAATATGCTCTGAATCCTGATCCTGCACCTAAAGAGTATACTCAAGTACCATGAGATACAACTTGAGAAAAAGAGTACCAGATGAAACCATGCATTTGCACAACGTGACAGGTCGTGTCAATGTTTTGACCTAAGCATCAGGATTTCATTTAGGCTGATTGGCCTCTGGTCAACCGGCATAACTTATTCATAATAAATACTCTTTGAAAATTGGCCTATTATCAAGTGTTGAAGTGACTTTAACATTATACAAATATTATACCATACCAGTACAATAAAAAAAAAAAAAAATATGTGCAGAACAAACTAGTATGATACTGGAAGACAGAACTGGAATAAAATTATATACCAGAATTGTGATAGCCGAGTACAAAATGTACACAAAAAAAAAATTAACACCGGCAGAAAGTTGTGCCAACGGTATCCGGTCGTTCCGTCCCCAAACCGATCCGGCCCCAAGTCGATCCGGCCCAAAGTCGATCCGTCCCAAGTCGATCCGGCCCACGTCGATCCGGCCCAAAGTCGATCCGGCCCCATAATAAAATATGAATAAACTATATTGACTTTGGAGAATTTTTAACAGTATAAATTGATTTTGCAAAAAGTATCGATGATGGATGACAACAGGTAAGTGAAGTATTGGTGTACCAGTCAAAGAATTATTTTAAATCGATACGAAACTGAGTGTGATTGTGTCTGTTTGTATAGCAGGTTGTAGGCTTTTGTGATGTTTGTCGCCATTTTATCTGCATGGAGTATCTTCCATTCCGTTTAGTTAAAGTCCAATCGGCGGGTTGATTCTCTACGAGTGATAGAACTGCTGTAATCTCCTCTTGTAGTTGGTCGGAAGTTTCCATTCTCAACTCATCAGATTATGATTTAAGTATTCGACATTTTATTCACCTTGGTCTACAGGACATATAGTAAACACGTCCGTCCAGGTGAAAATCTACTCACTCATTACATGTTGATTGCTTTGTGAAGTTCGAAATGTCGCATACCACACAAGGAAAAGCCATTGTGATATTTAAAGCAAACGCATTCTGTCTCCTCTTTTATAGAAAGGATTCGGCAAATCAAACAACATTTCTCAATTTGAGAAGTTTAAAGAACTTAAAACAAAAACAAAGTTTGTATGTATCAGCTTGGGAATCGGCTTGTACCGTTG